CAAATCATTTTGAGAGCCGGCAACTCCAAAGAAGGCGTGCTAAACCCAGGTATCAAAACCAGCAACTGCTTCGAGGATGATGCTTTTCTGCCCTTTCCGATTACCATAATCCCCTTGCCAAGTAGATGGACAATTTTTCCATTGTCAGTGCATGCAGTCAATGCTACCAATCATTCCAAGAAATCCACCAGACTCAGCTTTTGTAGAATCCGTTGCAGGTCCCTGGGCGTATGTCTGCGTAGGTAGTCCCCGGTGTACAGATTTTCCACTGCATTACAAAATCGAACCAAGCTCTCCAAAATAGTGGACTTCCCCATCCGGGCAATCTCATCCACCTGATTAGCAAATGACCTATACGCCAACATTCGTATCACAGCTGTGAACTTTTGCTCGGGAAGCAACCCCAAATCTCCAGCACAATTTTTCTTTTGAACAAAGTAGTCATCATAATTGCAAATATTATGCATGACTTTATTGAACAAATGGGGTTGCATTCTATATCTTGCTCGAAAATGAACATCAGAGTACAGAGATTGTGAGATAAAATAATCTTCCAGAAGATTCTTACCCCGAGAATGTCTATGTCTGTCCACATTCGATGCCCGGCCTTCTCGTGAACCACGACGGCTCTGGTTTTCTTCCTCCAGCAAAGCAACGGCCACACCAAGTTGCTCATCTAGTTCTCTCTGCGCCCTTTTGCTTGCAGCTCTTCTGCGTATTCTTGCTCGCCTTTCTCGCTCTTGCCTATCCAAAACATCTTCCATGTTTGACATTGAGAATAGAGAATGAAATCTAAAATCTGATAAATGAAATCTAAAATATGAGAAATGAAGATGTAGAGAAGATATGGTGTGGGAGGTATGAGCTGAGCCTCTGGTTTTATAGAAAAATTTAGACATATAGAGATGACACGTGGCGCAATTTTAAAGGATGAAAATCTTATCTGAATTTTGAAATTCAAATGAAATTTGGAATTGGAAATTTATCTGGAATTTGAATTTCGAAATGTATCTGAAATTCAAATTTTGAATTTATCTGAAATTTGAATTTTGAAATGTATCTGAAATTTGAAACCGAAAATCTTATCCAATATGAATAGTATTGACACGTAGGAACCGAAAAATCTTATCTAAATTAATTGTTTAAGTAAACAAAGTTGTGAAAAAAATAAAAACATGAATAGTATTTGTCATGGCAGACCTAAACTGCTGGAAACACACTTTGTGGGGGGGGGCTAGGGCAGCCACTATTCACGTGAATCATAGCTGCCCTAGGGCTCCCCTTGCCATGGCAAGGGGCTAACTGGTGGAAATGCTCTAAGGTCACTAAACTTGATCGATCTTTTAAGCGTGCTGTACATAGTAAAAAGTTAATAGTAAATGTCACTTTTCCCCTTCAAACTAATGTTTTCTTAACTACAATCCATCGTCTTATATTTTTTATGAGAAAACCTAATTTATTATAAGTAAAACTTGGTGACTAAGATCCAACTCACCAAGTTACCTAATTAAGCCTAAAATTTGACTTCTTGTGCTTTTCATATTCCAAAAGTACCCATTAAAATTTGATTTGTTGACTACTCTCACATTAATTGTTTAAATTTCAAAATGTTTGGCACATACAATCTCATGAGTCTTAAACTTTCTAGAGTTAAATCTCTTTATGATGCATGCATGCAGGTTGTCAAAAACTCCATGCCACCTCGTTCATCTGTTCTCCGCAACGAAAAAGAGGAGATACCACAGCAGATCTTCACAACTTCACACAAAGATCTTCGAAAAGAAGGCAGTGATTGGCTAGTCAAAACCTCCGAATCATGCTCTGTGGTTGCTGCGCTCATTGCAACAGTTGCCTTCGCAATCAGCATCTGCACCGGGCGGACTCGATAAATACGGTGAACCGGTTTTAGAAGACAAGCCAGCATTCAATGCCTTCACCATCTCATCGCTGCTTTCTCTTTGCTTTTCAGTAACTGCCCTGGTCTTCTTTCTTTCCATTATTACGTCTCAATACGAAGTAGATGATTTTTCCATCAGCTTGCCTCGGAAACTTTTGCTGGGTTTAACATCACTCTTGGCATCTATACGAAGTAGACCTAACACTACTATATATATATATATATACCCCTTCTATTGAGGGATCCCTCAAATAATTTTATTTGAGGGACGCCATTTAAGGTACTCTACAATTTTTTTTCCAATGATCCAAACCATCTATTTTTTTAGGTCTTCATTCATAGATCATCCTTACAAAAAGTTAGACAAATCGGAAAGTGTTTCGACATCCAATTGGGTCCTACAAAATCAATGAACACGGTGCTTCAATAATGTACTAAAATTTCAATAACTCAATTGAATGGTCAAATGATATCAGATTCAAGTGATTTTTTGTAGAGATGATCTTTGAATGTGTATCTACAAAATAGACGGTTTAGATTAGTGAAATACAATCCGGAGTGGGCCCTATAATGGGTGTCCCTCAAATAAGCTTATTTGAGGGATCCCTTAATAGAAGCTATATATATATATCCATGTATAATATGGAATTTGATTAAGAAAAAATTGATGCTCATAGCATAACTAATGGTGGTACGTAATTTCTTAACACCACACCACACAATAACATGAATGCATATTGACATGAAAGCTAGGTCTAGTTTACCAACAACAAGAACAATGTACATAAAAGATTCTCATAATTTTTAATAAAATTTAATTTTCGGCATAAAATTTAGTGTTAAAAGAAAGGGAGCTAATTTTTTTCACTCCTCTTTTATCCACTTACACTTTTTATTGGAAATTGTATGTTCCCGTTAATTTTTTGTCCATGTACACTCCTTTATATGTTATAATAAAAAGTATTTTTTTTTAAAATGACTTTTTTTTTTGTCGAAACAAAAGGGAATGTAAATGGACAAAAAAATAGTTGAAAAATTAGCACCCAAAAGAAATATTAATTAAAAGTGAAATGAGCTTTTCAAACTGCTTTGTTGTGTGTCCATGCAAAAGTTTTATGTATTTTTTATTTGCATTATACTGATATTCATATAGTAGTTTTTTTTTCTTTTCAAAATGCTCATATTCTGTATAGTTAATAAATATACAAAAAAACGATAAATAAATAAAAATTAGTGCTTGCTAACTATAAGATAATGACTTAATTTTGATCAATAAAGGAGGAGTAATTCGAACTTATGACCTCTTTGGATATATTGAAAATAGGGAAGAAAAGTGTTATACTAATTGCTCGTTTAACATTACTTATTTGAGGTCAAAATCACTTATTTTTACGATTTTAGCTTTTCATCATGTTTGATAAAAGAAGAAATAATTGCTTTTCATCCTATTGATATTGTAATTTGTTATGATGGAGGATTGTAGTTATGAAGATGGATTGTAATTTGTTATGTTGTGTTGTGAAATGAAATGGGCTCAAGCTTGTTTTACTGAATAAAATGTTGGGTTTAGACCCAAAATGAAAAACCGCAAGATTGGTTCGGTTCTCCCAATAATTTTAGGTCAAAATTGGAACCGCGCCCAACCCCAATTACAAGGCCTCTATTCTAGGAGAATGCACACAAGTGATGACGAGGAGGAATGAAAAAAAAAAAGGCACTATACTACTACGTACCAGCTTTGTCTTCCTCTGTTGGACAACAAGTACGAGGATGAATGTGACAGGAGATCAACAAAGTGATAACTTGATATGTAAGCATATATTTCATGAATCACATTTCATGAGCAGAGCATAGCACAAGCATAAGCATGCCTTGCACAATTTAGCTTTTTGAAGTTTCCTGATACTTTAGACAACCAAGTACGATCAACTTGACTTGACAGGAGAACCAAGTATATCGAGAAACTGACGTCCATGGACAAGCATGCGCTTTACGATTTCGCTTTTGATTGCTTTTATTTTTATCTCTTTTTGTTTTTTGGTATACAAGGCTTTTATCGCGCTTGGAGTTGGAAGGAACAAAGCAATTAATGCCTTCCTTCTCAGAAAATATATAAAGAATGAGCACAATCCAAGATATCTTTTGTCCCGAGTTCTCTGCCATTTTCCTTTCTTTTTTTTTTCTTTTTTTTTTGAGCAGATGTATATGTGTATATATATAAAAAAACACTATAAATGAATGTATATGTGTATATATAACAATTCTCTACAGTGGCGTCACAAACGCTTTCTTTGCTCTATATATCACGTAATCATTAGACTAGCTATGAAAGAGGCCAGACATGGAGAGAGTGGAGGAAGTGGTGGATAGAGAGGAGGAAGTGGACACTATCGCTGAAGATGCCACTTATGCACTGTTCGATAAAGCCATGAACGGCCAGTGGGAAAAAGTTAAGGAGGTCTATAGAACATCAGAGAATTCCAAAGTTCATTATTTGCGCATCACCAAAATGAGGGACACTGCTCTACATTTTGCTGTTTCGGATGGAGAAACAAAAGTTGTGTTAGATTTGCTGGAGATCATTGGAGACAATGCATTCAACATATTGAAGATAAAAAATAACAAAGGCAACACACCTCTGCATTTAGCTGCTGCACTTGGGGATGTGAAAATGTGTCATGCAATGGCCATCAAAGCTAAAAAACTCGTGTCGCTTCGCAACGATCAGGACGAGACCCCTCTCTTCTTGGCAGCTCTTAATGGGCATGAGAAGGTTTTTCTTTGCCTTCATGCTCACTGTGATGAAGAAAGATGCTATTCGTTTAGAACAATTAAAGGTGATACCATTCTCCATGCAGCTATCTCCGGTGAATACTTCGGTAAGTGTGTGGCCTATCCACTTCTTAAAGAGTGCTGCTACTTGTATCATCACATTGTTGATCACATCTCGATTACAAGTGGGTCTTATATACATTAGTGGGGTTTACTTCAGCAAAATGATCAATAAATGTGGTACAAATGGATTATTATTACTTCTTAAATATATATATATATTTTAACTTAATATCATATTTTATTATTAATTTCCTTTTTAAATATATAGATTTGGCATTCCAGATCATTCTGTGGCACCCAGAACTTGTTAATAATATTAATCAGAGTGGCTTATCTCCCCTGCATATTCTCGCCAATACTCCTTCAGCATTCAAAAGCAGTAGCCGCCTTAGACAGTTGGATCGTCTCATATACCAATGTAAGAATATCTCTATCGATTTTATTTTTTATTTTTTGGTGTATGATCAAGCTTTTGGATGTTTAATTCATGTAATACAATGCTAATGCATTTGCACTTGGCAGTTTCATGTCTCACTTGGTAATTACTAGGCTTTCAGGGGACAAAATTATTTAAAAAGAGAACTATGATGATATGACCTTTTTAAGTATGTATACATCATACATGTACTTGTTTTTTGAAGAGAAAATAAAAATATATATAGTTGTTTGATCATTATAAGGGTGTTATTCTTGTTTCCAGAAGAAAAACTCAGTCTCTAATAAAAGTATCACATACAATCAATAAATTCAAGGACGGAGTTAAAATTGTAAAGTTAGGGAGGACGAAGTAGAAAATACAAGTATACTCTATATCTTGCAACTATAGGGACCTTGGTTAATTACTCTATATCTTGCAACTGTACTTCTGTCCGAATAAGTTTTTCCATTTCATTTCTCAGGTTTGATTGCTGAAGAGCTAAATGGGCAAGAAGTTGACAAAAAGATTTGTCCCCGCGGCAAAAAAGGAAGGAATATCGACAATAGGGGTTCTGAATCTCAAGAATTAAGTGAGTGCTAGTCACTTATCCAATTTATCCGTTGCTATTTCGTCACCACAAGTCTAATATAACATAGTTTCTCCATTTCTAGCTAAATCATGGGGAAATAGGATGTGCTCTTCTCTATGTCTAGCTAAGAGAGGAAATAAAAAGGAAGATGCAGAGAATCCCCAACAAAAGAGCAGCTCAATGCAAGGTAAAGTTGGGTAACCATAATGTCCTCTGACTTGTAGTGAACCTTATCATTTCTCATGAACGGTGTCTCCATGATGTTTTCTATGGAAAACAACCCTTAAACTGTAAAATACATCTCTTAAATAGAGAAAATAAAAACGAAGATGTTAGAGAGGCAGAGAATCCCCAACAAAATAACAGCTCAATGCAAGGTAAGTTGGGTAATAGTACTTAGTAGACCCCAAAGTAGGCAAGGCAACTAACCCTAGAGAAATAACATAAAACCAGATAACCGACTAGTCGATTACCTAGACTGATCGGTCACTCACACTAAGAGAAATACCGATCGACCTGCCGGTTATGTAGTCCAACCGGTCACTCCACTGAATCTCATAATCTTGATGAGGAGTTGCCGGTCCTCCAAAAACTGATGACAGTCGGATCCCTGTACTGTAATGTACCAGATTTGAATCATGCTTCCAAATTTTATATCCAAATTGAGAGCCAATTCACAACAAATATATCCCCAACTGCACCAAGTGCATCTTGTAAGAGTCAATAATTCAATTCTAAGATATGTATATTATTAAAACAATACGTTGATAAAAATATGTTTAAGACTGTCTTTTGGATGCTCATTATATTTTAGCATTGTTTTCCTTCCTCTTTTTCCAACTGCAGGTACAAACCAACGAGAGGAACAGGGGAGAGAAAGTCATCCCAATTATATTTACGCAACATTTGTTAAAATATTCTACTTAATCACGGAGGCTTTGCTAGAGATGTATCGTTTTCTGCGAGGACTTTTGGGTGAATCCATTTACACTTTCGTCTATATATATCTATTTATACCAATAAACTTGCCCATATATAAAATAAAAAGCATCGTTCTAATAGAAAGAAAATTAATATAGAGAAAAATCAATTGGACATATCTATGGAGTGCTTTTAATTGACAATCTCATTTGTGTTTCTAGGAATTTCGAGCATACAGAAAATCCACGAACAGAAAAGGAAACATAAATGGGCTACTCAGGTCATGAATAAATTGCTTCATCATACTTATTCATACAGGTATGAACAAAATCCCAAAGAAGTTCGACCGTCAGATGAAACAAGAATTAGACGAGTTCCTAAACCTACCGAATTAGAGGACCCCAAATTAGAGGAGAAAAGTGGGTCTATGATGACACCAATATTAATTGCAGCAAAGATGGGAGTGAGCGAAATGGTGGAGAAAATCCTTAAAAAATTTCCAGGGTCTATTCACGATGTGGACTCAGAAAACAAGAATGTTGCGCTCCTGGCAATTGAGAACAGGCAATCCCATGTTCTCAAGTTACTGCTGAAGAAAGAGAAATCAATCGCATGCTTGTTACGTCAGGTGGACAAGGGCGGCAACAATGCATTGCATCTTGCTGCTAAATATGGAAGTTATCGGCCATGGCATACTCCAGGTGCGGCACTGCAAATGCAGTGGGAACTCAAGTGGTATATGGTATGTACACTATTATTGATATTCATCAATAATCTATCATCACTAGGTAACCTAGGCTTTGATACTTAATCTTTAATTAATATCTTGTCAAACTCGGCTCAAACAACTAAGGTCATTGAACATGATCGATCTTTTAAGCGTACTGTACGTAGTAACTCTCTATGATGCATGCATGCATGCAGGTTGTCAAAAACTCCATGCGACATCATTTTGTTCGCAACAACGATGAAGGTAAGACACCACAGGAGATCTTCACAACCTCACACAAACATCTTCGAAAAGAAGGCAGTGATTGGCTAGTCAAAACCTCCGAATCATGCTCTGTGGTTGCTGCGCTCATTGCAACAGTTGCCTTCGCAACATCAGCATCTGTACCGGGCGGACTGGATGATAAAACTGGTTCACCGGTTTTCGAAGACAAGCCGGCATTCAATGCCTTCACCATCTCATCACTGCTTGCTCTCTGCTTGTCGGTAACTGCCCTGGTCTTCTTTCTTTCAATTATTACATCTCGATACGAAGTAGATGATTTTTCCATCAGCTTGCCTCGGAAACTTTTGCTGGGTTTAACATCACTCTTCGCATCTATAGCTTCCGTATTAGTCTCATTCTGCACAGGGCATACGTTTCTCCTTAATCAACAACTGAGACACGTGGCATATCCATTATATGCGACAACTTGCATTCCGATCACAATATTCGCTCTTGCCCAACTGCCCCTCTACTATGATCTCATAAAGGGAATCTTCACAAAGGTTCCACAACAGACATACATGGAGTAACGAGGACTCGATCATGTATTGGCTTATTGGCGCTACAAATAGTGTTTGTGTTGTGTGTATGTATGTTTTTTTGTTGAAACAAGTACGGGTTTTAGTGTGTTGTTCGAAATTTGTTTCCAGACTGGGGTCTATGCGTAAGAAGTGTTTCCTAATTAAAAAGCAAGTCATATAATGTAAAACCTATTCTAAATAAGCTTATTTGAAGGATATATTTCACTTTGCCCTTGAAGTTCAAATGACTCACTTTATCCCTTTGATCCAAGTTTGTTGTTCCATTTTGCCCTTTACAGTTAACTCTATTCAAAATTATGTTAAAATTGATAACGTGGTGGGGGTATTTTAGTCCTTTTGTATACATGGGTTAAAGATAACAAAAAACAAAACGTCTCCTTCTCTGACCCACCCCACCCATCCGAGAGATACTCTCATGCAACGGAGATACCATTTTTTGTTATCCCCGATCAATAAAACAATGACATGAGATAACTTTTTCACGTGTCATTGAGATAGCAAAACACAAAACACTGTTATAACCATTACAAAAAAAGATATTCCCCATTCTCGCCGCCACAACCTCAACTTCGACATCCAACCACCACCTCCCTCACCCAACCATCACCTTAGCCAAAGCCACCACCCACCCCTTCCCCTCGAGGTGGATGCATAGAGGGACAAATGGGGTCAAGTGACCCCATGGCAGCCGGCAAATCAACCGTGGAGGTCTCAAGCAACCCCAAGCCTTGCTAGTGTGTGACCCCAAGATGCACACTAGCTGAAAAATGAGGTAAAATGAGACAAGATGAGTTTCAGGGGGCAAAGTGAAACTCAAATACACTTTCATAGGGTATATCAAAAAATAAGCCTTTAAAATATACACTGGGTTGTTTTTGGGTGGTGGTGTATTTTGGGATTTTTCCTCATTTCCCCTTTTTTTTTTTAATAAACTGATACAAAATACCATCATTTTTCTTTTGGTGGAAAATAAAAGCGCACCATTATAGGAAATTTACTGTTACAGGAGGAGATCATAACAAAATCATAACGTGCTTGAAATCAGTTCATCAGAGTAAATCCGAAGCTCCAACATATACAGTAGTGACAAAATCATAACGTGTGATTCGACCGGATTAAGATGAGAGAAGTCGGTGGCAGAAGACGGCGCCGTATCGCCCTCGGGAACTGCCCGAAGTGGCCAAGCCTGTCCATTTCCTCAAGGCCTTCACCTTCATCCCTTAACGGCACACAGACTCATTAAAGATAAAACCGCTCTCTCTCATTCCCCAAAATAAGAAAGAAAAAGAAAATTTCAGAGAGCAAAAATCGTTCACTCAACTTGGTATTGTCAAATTCGGTGAGTCAAAATAACTCTCCATGGCTTTCTGTTGCTTGTTACTCCAATTGTGTTCATGTTTGATTGATATTATTGTTTGTATCTCACCTCTCTGTAGTCAATATTAAATTCTATTGTCTGTTGTTTGTTTGATTTTTTCCTTTTTTTTTAGAGGGTATTAAGAATTGTTTGATATAACAATGGACTGTGTTGGGTTTCATATAACAATGGAAAGCACTGAAATTTGGAGTTTGATTAGGTCATTTGAATGGTGGTAGATTCAAGATCCAAACTTCTGATATATTTTAATTTCTTTGGTTCATTATTGTTCATTGTATGCTAAATGATATCGGAAACATACCAAAATGGAAATTTTTATTTTGATTTTCTATTGAATTAGTGTTTCGGTGTTCGAGCAGAGGTTCAATTGTTTGGTTTGGTTAGCTGCATCAGTGATAAATGATTTTTTCAGGAAAATGACATGCCAAATGATACATTCGTGGAGGTTTAACGAGCTAGTGGGTGCATTTCTTGATCTTGCAATAGCCTATCTTTTACTTTGTGCCGCAGCTGTTGCCTTTTTTACCTCCAAATTTGTGAGTTTGTTTGGATTGTGTCTGCCATGCCCTTGTGATGGGTTTTTTGGGACCCCCAGGAAAAGTCACTGCTTTCAAAGGCAATTCGCGGATGCCCCATGTGAGAAAATCTCTGCAGTTCAATGGGCAGTGAATTCTGAAGCACTTACCTGGGGCCTCTGCAAGGAAACACTCTTAACGGAGAAAATAAAAGACATTAGTGATTGACTTTGCTTTGTTTTAATTGGTTCACTTCAAGATCCAAACTTTTGGTATTTTATTTTAATCTCTTTGGTTCATTCTTGTTCATTGTGTGCTAATTGATATCGTAATTTGTTATGACGGAGGATTGTAGTATGAAAATGGATTGTAATTTGTTATAAATTTCTGTTAGGGAAAATTAATTTTAATGGAACAGAAGAAAGTGAAATGAAATGGGCTCAGGCCCAAACAGTGGACAAGTCCAGATTGGTTCGGTTCTCTCAATAATTTAAATTCAAAACTGGATCAAACCAGATCAAGCCCAGCCCCAATTAGAAGGCCTCTAGTGTAGGAGAATGCACACAAGTGATGACGAGGAGGAATGAAAAAAAAGTAGTATACTAGTACGTGCCAGCTTTGTCTTCCTCTGTTGGACAACATGCAGGAAGATGAATGTGACAGGAGATCAACAAAGTGATAACTTGTATTTCATGAGTATCATCAAGAGCAGAGCACAAGCATTGAAGCATAAGCATGCCTTGCACAATTTAGCTTTTGATTGCTTTTTGGGTACAATTGGGCTAGCTGGCTTAGGACTTTGGACTTTAAACGTCGTCATTTTGAAGTTTCCTGTTACTTTAGACAAGTACGATTAACTTGACAGGAGAACATAATGATAACTTGTTATTCCAGCGTATTTCATGAGTCACATTCACAGACGGACCTACTCTTTGACCAGTGACTTTGTCTTTTTTAGCCTAAACTAACATACCCATCCCACCCAATGAATAGCCATGTACTCTCATAATCCCCCTTCACCTTTTTTTTTCTTTTTCTTTTTGGTACAAAAGGGGCCAAAGGCCAAACACAAACAACTCATGCTTCTTTTATTTTTTGTTCGAAAACATTCCCTCTTATTTTCTATTTTTTTGGTAGAAAATAACCCCCCTTCACTCCACACATACTGTAGAAAATAGAAAAGAATTATGTACTAGATGTGTTTTGAAAGGTAAAACTCATTATGTCATCATGATTAGGTGTTGTCTTTTGTTATTAATGAATTTCACTATGTACTGTCAAGTTTAATAACTATGCGCGTAATGTAAATTTAGCTTATCCTAATTTGAGATCTTGGGTCCGTTCCTGGTCACATTTCATGAGTTCTACTTGTATGTGAAGAAACTGACGTCCAGCACAAGCATGCGCTTTACGATTTCGCTTTTGATTGCTTTTATTTCCATCTCTTTTTGTTTTATGGTATACAAGGTTTTTCTCGCGCTTGGAGTTGGATGGAACAAACAAAGAGCAATTAATTAATGCCTTCCTTCTCAAAAAATATATAATAGTAAGTAAGCGCCTTTGGGAAAAATATATATAACTTAATATATACCCGCAATGTGATTTCATGATCCAAACTATATATCTATTTTTTAGAGCCTCCCTTCAAACATCATTCAAAAAAAAAAAAAAAAAAAAAAAAAAAAAAAAAAAAATCTAAATACTAGTCACTTAACTCTAATGAAGGATAAATGGATGAACACTGAGGTTTGAATAAAAACACTAAAATAATCATATATACGTACGGTATGATGATTAAATGGTTAATCAATTTTTTATCTTTAAAAGAAAACTTTATTATAAAAAAAACACTATTAATGAATGTATATGTGTATATATAACAATTCTCTACAGTGGCGTCACAAACGCTTTCTTTGCTATATATATATATATATATATATATCACGTAATCATTAGACTAGCTAGTGCAAGAGGCCAGACATGGAGAGAGTGGAGGAAGTGGAGGAGGACCTGTTCGATAATGCCATGAACGGCGACTGGGAAAAAGTTGTGGGGCTCTATAGATCATCAGAGAATGTTCATGATTTGGAAATCACCAAAATGGGGGACACTGCTCTACATATCGCTGCTTTCGATGGCGAAACAAAAATTGTGCTGGATTTGCTGGAGATCCTTAAAGAAAATGCATCCAAGATATTGCAAATAAAAAACAAGAAAGGCAACACACCTCTCCATTTAGCTGCTGTAGTGGGGGATGAGGAAACGTGTCATGCAATGGCCACCAAAGACCCCGAACTCGTGTCGTCTCGCAACAATGAGAATGAGACCCCTCTCTTCTTGGCAGCTCTTAATGGGCATGAGAAGGTTTTTCTTTGCCTCCATAGTCACTGTGTTGAAGAAGGATGCTATTCGTTTAGGACAAGTAATGGTGATACCATTCTTCATGCAGCTATCTCCGGTGAATACTTCAGTAAGTGTGTGTCCTACCCATTCCTAAAGAGTGCTGTTATTTGTACCATCACATTGTTGACCACATCTCGAATATAAGTAGGTCCTATATACATTAGTGAGGTTCACTTCAGCAAAATCATCAATAAATGTGGCACAAATAGAATTATTATTACTTCTTAATATCTTTTTTATTTATTTATTAATTTCGTTTTTAAATATATAGGTTTGGCATTCCAGATCATTCTGTGGCACCAAGAACTTGTTAATTATATTAATCAGAGTGGCTTATCTCCCCTGCATATTCTAGCCAATACTCCATCAGCATTCAAAAGCAGTAGCCGCCTTAGACCGTTGGATCGTTTCATATACCATTGTAAGAATATCTGTATCGATTTTATTTTTTATTTTTTATTTTTTGGGGTATGATCAAGCTTTTGGATGTTTAATTCATGTAATACAATGCTAATGCATTTGCACTTGGCAGTTTCATGTCTCACTTGGTAATTACTAGGCTTTCAGGGGACAAAATTATTTAAAAAGAGAACTATGATGATATGACCTTTTTAAGTATGTATATCATACATGTACCTGTTTTTTTGAAGAGAAAATATATATATATAGTTGTTTGATCATTATAAGGGTGTTATATTCATGTTTCCAGAAGAAAAACTCAGTCTCTAATAAAAGTATTGCATACAATCAGTAAATTCAGGGACGGAGCTGAAATTGTAAAATTAGGAGGGACGAAGTAGAAAATACAAGTATACTCTATATCTTGCAACTGCAGGGACCTTGGTTAATTACTCTATATCTTGCAATTGTACTTCTGTCCGAATAAGTTTTTCCGTTTCATTTCTCAGGTTTGATTGCTGAAGAGCTAAAAGGGCAAGAAGTTGACAAAAATATTTGTCCCCGCGGCAATAGGGATTCTGAATCTCAAGAATTAAGTGAGTGGTAGTCACTTATCCAATTTATACGTCGCTTTTTCGTCACCACACATATTTAGCACAAGTCTAATATAATATAGTTTCTCCATTTCCAGTTATATCATGTGGAAATAGGATGTGTTGTTCTCCAAGTCTAGTTAAGAGAGGAAATAAAAAGGAAGATGCAGAGAATCCCAGCTCAATGCCAGGTAAAGTTGGGTAACTATAATGTCCTTTGAACTTGTAGTGAACCTTATCACTTCTCATGAATGGTGTCTCCACCCTTAAACTGTAAAATACATCTCTTAAATAGAGAAAATAAACCTAAACAGAAGCACACAAGCAAAAAAAATTTCATTTTCACTATTTTGAAAACAAAGAACAAAATCTATTACCAAATATGTTTTCATTTTTCATTTTTTTTAATAAAAAAATTGATAATTGATAATTAAGGGCCCTGATAACCATTTCAATTTTAGTTTTAAGTTTTCATTTTTTGTGCCAGAGTATAGAAGTAAAAGAGGGAGAATGGAAGTGAGAACGAGAGTGGAGATGAGATTGAGAGAAAACATGAGGAGATGATGGGAAGGAGGAGTAACAAAAGTGAAAATTTGAAATCTATTTGAAATTGTTTTCACTTTCAACTTTTTATTTTCACTTTTATTACTCTTCCCTCTCATCCCCTTTCATAGTCTCTCTCAATTTCAAGTGGTTATAATTTCTTCGTCTAATAAGTAAACATGGAAAATAAATAAGTAACATTAAATTTTAGCAGTAATAATGAGAATCCCTTGATTTTCCCTATATCAAACTCCCGTAGTCGACTTATCCTCGAATCTGAATTTTCGTTGATTCCATGATAATCTTGAAATTGAAATTTAATATAAAAACTCTGAATATTTATGCCTTAAAATTTTATGTGATCACAACTGCACAAAGTGCATCTTGTCAAGGTCAATAATTCAATTATAATACATTACGAATACATTGATAAAATGTTTAAGACTGACTTTTGGATGCCCATTAATTTCAATATATGCAACTTTTTTAGCATTGTTTTCCTTCCTTTTTTTCAAATTGTAGGTATGAACCAACGAGAAGAAAGTCATCCCAATTATATTTACTCCTCATGTGTTAAGTTTTTCAACTTAATCACGGCTGTCTTGGACGTGATCAATGGTTCTCCGCGAAGCGGTCAGTACTATCAAACTTTGTGGTGAATTCGTTAATTTACACTTTCATTTATGAGCAACATTTGGCTTCTTAAAACTAAGGAGGAGCTTATCCTCAAAGAAAATGGAATTTTGACACTTGGCAAATTCCAAAACAAAGAAAATTAAAAGAATTTGAAGAAGAAAAAAAAGAAAACAAAAATCAAAATCCCATTTGTTCTGAGGAGGAGCTCTTCCTCAATTTGAAGGAGCCAAATGAAAGAAAATTAATTGCACATATTTGTTTGAAACCCCCTCAGGCATGCTAAAGTTGTTTTTAATTAGAATGTCATCATTTGTATTTCTAGCAGTTTGGAGCATAGATAAAATCCAAGACGAGAAAAGGCGACATATATGGGCTACTCAGGTCATGAATAAATTGGTTGAGCATAGTAATTTATACAAGAAAGTCGTACAAATTTCTGGAGGAGATCCAGAAGATAAAGATAAATTTGGAGATGTTCCTGATCGTTCCGAATTGCATCTGGAGGAGCCAAGTGGAAGTACAAGTCATACAGAGAAGAAAGACAATACGGAAGCTAAGAATGACAATTTGGAAGATAAGAAGGACAATAAAAAATCGGAAGATAAGAAGACACCAATATTAATTGCAGCAAAGATGGGAGTTAGTGAAATGGTGGAAACAATCCTAGATAAATTTCCAGTGGCTATTTACGATGTGGACTCAGAAAACAAGAATGTTGCACTGTTGGCAGTCGAGAACAGGCAACCCCATGTTTACAGTTTACTAGTGGACAGGAAGAAACAAATCACAAGATTGTTACGTGGGGTGGACAACAATGGTAACAATGCATTGCATCTTGCTGCTAAATGTGGAAGACATCGGCCATGGCTTACTCCTGGTGCCGCACTACAAATGCAGTGGGAACTCAAGTGGTACACGGTACGTATATATCTAACAATAATCTTATTTATTTTAATGAAGCACCGTGTTTATCTATTTTATTGGTCCCAATTATATGCCTTAGAGCATTCATAATGAGCTCCCTAAACCGCCTCCTTAAACAAATTTTAGAGAGGAATTGTAAAAATACAACTCCAACCATGCTCCATATCCACCTCCTAAAATAGGGAGACCTCTAGGAGCTGCTAAATCTGAGGAAAGAGAAAGGACTCCTAGTGGCTCCCTATAATTTAATACCGCTTTATTTAATGAGTATTTCAAACATTTATTTAATACAAACTATTTTTTTATATATTTTATAATAGAGATGGACCAATCAAAAAAGAGTTATAGCATTTATGATTCCCTAAACTAGAGAGCATGATTGAAGTTTAAATTTTATAGAGAGCTCCTAAAATAACTTTTATATGTTTTCAGCTAAAATTTAACTAAAAAATAGAGAGCATGATTTTGGATGCTCTATATGATTTTCAATTTGCATAATTTGATCTATGAATGAAGATTTGGAAAATAGACGGTTTTGATTGTTTAAAAAAAATTTCTTAAGAGCATCCACAATAGACTCCCTAAAAACACTCCCTTAGACAAATTTTAGGGAGGAATTGGAAAAAATACAACTCTAACCATGCTCCCTATCCACCTCCTAAAATAGGAAGACCTCTAAGAGCTCCTAAATCTGAGGAGAGAGAAATGACTCCTTATCATTTAATGTTGCTTTGTTTTATGCAGATTTTAAAATTTTAATTAATGCAAATATTTTTTTAAATATTATTTTGTATAGAGATGGACCAATTATATTGAATTAAAAAATAATTATAGTATTGATGACTCTCTTAACTAGGTAGTATGATTGGAGTTCAAATTTTATAGAGAGCTCCTAAAACAGCTTTTGTGTGTTTTTACCTAAATTTTAACTAAAAAATAGGGATCATGATTGTAGATGCTCTAAGGGACCCTAATGGGTGTATCTCGAATAAAATTATTTGAGGAATCCATCATTAAAAGGAAATATATATATATATATATATATATCACTCAGACAAATCAAGAATAATACAACTAAACACTTAAATTTTATAATGATAATAACAAATAGTTAAATGGTTGCTTTTTCAATTGAGACTTAACTCAAACTAATAAGGTAATTAATTGAACAGATATCAATCCTTGAATAAAGTTTTAAATGCTCTAAATTTTAATGTGCATGGATGCAGTTTGTCAAAAATTCCATGCCACCTCGTTCATCTGTTCGCTACAACAAAAAAGGTCAGATGCCACAGGAGGTCTTCACAACTTCACACAAACGTCTTCGAAAAGAAGGCAGTGATTGGCTCGTCAAAACCTCCGAATCATGCTCTGTGGTTGCTGCGCTCATTGCAACAGTTGCCTTCGCAACATCAGCATCTGTACCGGGCGGAATCGATGATAAAACTGGTTCACCGGTTTTGAAAGACAAGCCGGCATTCAATGCCTTCACCATCTCATCACTGCTTGCTCTCTGCTTGTCAGTAACTGCCCTGGTCTTCTTTCTAACCATTATTACGTCTCGATACGAAGCGCAAGATTTTTCCATCAGCTTGCCCCGGAAACTTTTGCTGGGTTTAACATCACTCTTCGCATCCATAGCTGCCGTGTTAGTCTCATTCTGTACTGGCCATGTTTTTCTCCTTGATCGACACCTCAGATATGTGGCATATCCATTATATGCAGCGACTTGCTTGCCGGTTACCATTTTTGCTCTTGCCCAGTTGTCCCTCTACTATGATCTCATAAGGGTCATCTTCAGAAAGGTTCCACAGCGCAGCTACAGGGAATATAGACACTAATTAAGTGGGACTCGATCATCTATTTGGCGCTATAAAAAAATTGTGTGTTTTTGTGTGTTTTGTTTTTTTTTTTTTTTTTTTTTTTTTTTTGATATAAGTATTAATTGGTTTGAGTGTGTGGTTTGAAATTTGTTTCCGGAGTGAGGTGAGGCTTTTGTAAGAAGCTTGCCGCAATTAAAACCAAGTCATATGTTGTAAAACCCCGCTAAGATATATGTATGTTCAAGAATAAACAAAGATTGTTTTTACAAATAATGCCATATGCATGATGACATATATTAAAAGATAATTAAGCTAGGGTTAATTAGGGCAGTACTTTTACCCTTCTTCTGTGACTGATTTTTCACCAGCTTTTTCTCCACAAACACCCTCTAGTTGCATACTAGTTAGTCATGGGGAGATTCATGTGAGAAATTTGCAAACGTGTATGCCAACATCCACACTGGCAGACCTAATACTACCATATATATCCATGTACAATATAAGTAACGGTGGTACATAATTTCTTAACACCACACCACACAATAACATGAATGCATATTGACATAAAAGCTCGGTCTAGTTTACCAACAACAAGAACAATGTACATAAAAGATTCTCATAATTCTTAATAAAATTTAATCTTTGCCGTAAAATTTTATTATTAAAAGAAAGGGGGCTAATTTTCTCACTCCTCATTTGTTCACTTACACTTTTTTATTGGAAATTGTATATTAACGCTCCTCTTTTGTCCATGTACACTCTTTTGTATGTTATAGTAAAAAATATTAAAAGACAAAAGGGCTTTTTTTTTCTGGTAGAAATAAAAGAGAGTATAAATGGATAAAGGGGAGTGAGAAAAATTAGCACCCAAAAGTAAACCAAAAGAAATATTAATTAAAAGTGAAATGAGCTTTTCAAACTGCTTTTTTGTGTGTCCATGCAAAAGTTTTATGTATTTCTTATTTGCATTATACTGATATTCATATAGTAGGGGCAGAATGCTCATATTTTCTGTATAATTAATAAGTATACAAAAAATTGATGTGACTTTAATTACCGTGGGAAAGCAGCTGAAAGGATGAATATTATTTCAGCTTTCGCGGAAAGCAAAACAAGGAACCGATGGTTTTAATGAATTTTAACGAAGTCCCTATAATATCCTTATTTACTTTAGACAACCAAGTACGATCAACTTGACTTGACAGGAGAACCAAGTATATGGAGAAACTAACATCCATGGACAAGTTCAGACCAAAAAAAATACATCCATGGACAAGCATGCGCTTTACGATTTCGCTTTTGATTGCTTTTACTTTTATCTGTTTTTGTTTTTTGGTGTACAAGGCTTTTATCGCGCTTGGAGTTGGAAGGAACAAAGCAATTAATGCCTTCCTTCTCAGAAAATATATAAAGAATGAGCACAATCCAAGATATCTTTTGTCCCGAGTTCTCTGCCATTTTCCTTTTTTTTTCTTTTTTTTTCTTTTTTTTTTTGAGCAGATGCTTCTAGAAAAAAGAAAGATAGAAATTAGTTATTAATCAAAGTTAGTTAGTTGGAGATAATTAACCTCTACTCCATCAGCATAACATAAGTAATAGCGAACAATATTGTATAAAACAAATTTCAATTCATGCACAACTATAACTTATACAGCATGAACATTAGCATATATTTTTTTATATACACGCAATGTGATCCGAACTATATATCGATTTTTAGGACCCCCCCTTCCAACATCATTCTTGCAAAAAATAAGTAAAATTGTAAATCTCATACTAGTCACTTAACTCTAATGAATTATAAATGGATGAACACTGAGGTTTGAATAAAAACACTAAAATAATATCATATGTACGTACGGTATGATGATTAAATGGTTAATCAATTTTTTATCTTTAAAAGAAAACTTAATTATAAAAAACACTATAAATGAATGTATAGTGTATGTATAACAATTCTATACAGTGGCGTCACACACGCTTTCTTTGTTATATATATATATATATATCACGTAATCATTAGACTAGCTAGTGCAAGAGGCCAGACATGGAGGGAGTGGAGGAAGGGCTGGATATATATAGAGAGGAGGAAGAACTGGATATATATAGAGAGGAGGAAGAACTGGATATATATAGAGAGGATGAAGTGGAGGAAGTGAACATTACCCCCGAAGATGCCGCTTTATATAAATTGGCCCATGAGCTGTTCGATAATGCCATGAACGGCCAGTGGGAAGAAGTTGTGGGGGTCTATAGATCATCAGAGAATGTTCATGATATGCGTATCACCAAAATTGGGGACACCGCTCTACATATCGCTGCTTCGGATGGCGAAACAGAAATTGTGCTGCACTTGTTACGGATCATTGGAAACGATGCATCCAGGATATTGCAAATAAAAAACAAGAAAGGCAACACACCTCTCCATTTAGCTGCTGAAGTGGGGGATGTGGAAACGTGTCACGCAATGGCCACCAAAGACCGCAAACTCGTGTCGTCTCGCAACGATAAGAATGAGACCCCTCTCTTCTTGGCAGCTCTTAAGAGCAAGGAATGGTGATACCATTCTCCATGCAGCTATGTCCGGTGAATACTTCAGTAAGTGAATACCCACTTCTTAAAGAGTACTGCTATTTGTACCATCACATTGTTGACCACATCTCAATACAAGTGGGTCTCATATACATTGGTGGGGTTGACTTCGGCAGTGTGATAGAGCACAAATAGCATTATTATTACTTTTTAAAAATATATATATTATAACTTTTTATTATTTTTTTATTATTAATTTCCTTTTTAAATATATAGGTTTGGCATTCCAGATCATTTTGTGCCACCCACAACTTGTTAAATATATTAATCACAGTGGCTTATCTCCCCTGCATATTCTAGCCAATACTCCATCAGCATTCAAAAGCAGTAGCCGCCTTAGACTGTTCGATCGTCTCATATACCAATGTAAGAATATCTCTATCGATTTTATTTTTTATTTTTTGGTCTATGATATCAAGCTAGCTTTTGGATGTTTAATTCATTAAAAATACAACGCTAATGCATTTGCACTTGGCAGTTTCATGTCTCACTTGGTAATTACTAGGCTTTCAGGGGACAAAATTATTAAAAAAGAGAACTATGATGATATATCATATATGACCTTTTTAAGTATGTATACATCATACATGTACTTTTTTTTTGTAGAGAAAATAAATAAATAAATATATAAATAAATAATTGTTTGATCATTATAAGGGTGTTATTCATTTTTCCAGAAGAAAAACTCAGTCCCTAATAAAAGTATGGCATACAATCAGTAAATTCAGGGGCAGAGTTAGAATTGTAAAGTTGGGGCGCCAAAGTCGAAAATACAAGTATACTCTATATCTTGCAACTGTAGGGACCTTGGTATATTTTGCAACTGTACTCCTGTCCGAATAAGTTTTTCCATTTCATTTCTCAGGTTTGATTGCTGAAGAACTGAAAGGGCAAGAAGGTGACAAAAAGATTTGTCCCCGCGGCTAAAAAGAAAGGAATATCGACAATACGGGTTCTGAATCTCAAGCAATAAGTGAGTGCTAGTCACTTGTCCAATTTATACGTTGCTTTTTCGTCCCCACAAGTCTAATATAATATAGTTTCTCCATTTCCAGCTAAATCATGGGGAAATAGGATATGTTCTTCTCTAAGTCTAGCTAAGAGAGGAAATAAAAAGGAAGATGCAGAGAATCCCCAACAAAAGAACAGCTCAATGCAAGGTAAGTTGGGTAACCATAATGTCCTTTGAACTTGTAGTGAACCTTATCACTTCTCATGAATGGTGTCTCCATGATGTTTTCTATGGAAAACAACCCTTAAACTGTAAAATACATCTCTTAAATAGAGAAAATAAACCTAAACATGAATGGTGTTTTTCCAACTGCAGGTACAAACCAACGAGAGGAACAGGGGAGACAAAGGCATCCCAATTATATTTATGCATCATTTGTTACAATTTGCTACTTAATCACGGAGGCTTTGGTAGAGATGTATCGTTTTCTGCGAGGACTTTTGGGTGAATACATTTACACTTTCGTTTATACACATATATATATATATATATATATATATCTATTTATACCAATAACCTTGGCCATATATAAAATAAAAAGCATCGTTCTAATTGAAAGAAAATTAATGTAATAGAGAAAAATCAATTGGACATATCTATAGAGTGCTTTTAATTGACAAATTAATGTCATTTGTGTTTCTAGGAATTTCGAGCATACAGAAAATCCACCAAGACAAAAGGAAACATAAATGGGCCACTCAGGTCATGAATCAATTGCTTGACCATACTTCTTCATACATGTATGCACAAAATCCCAAAGAAACTCGACCAACAGATGAATCAAAAATTACACAAGTTCCTAAACCTCCCGAATTAGAGAAGCCCGAATTAGATACAAAGAGGAAGAAGGACAAAAACGTGGGAGATAAGCAAATGAAAAGGCAGCTGATGACACCAATATTAATTGCAGCAAAGATGGGAGTGAGCGAAATGGTGGAGAAAATCCTAAAAAAATTTCCAGTGGCTATTCACGATGTGGACTCAGAAAACAAGAATGTTGCGCTCCTGGCAATTGAGAACAGGCAATCCCATGTTCTCAAGTTACTGCTGATGGAGAAAAAGAAATCAATCGCAAACTTGTTACGTCAGGTGGACATCAAAGGCAACAATGCATTGCATCTTGCTGCTAAATATGGAAGTTATCGGCCATGGCATACTCCAGGTGCGGCACTGCAAATGCAGTGGGAACTCAAGTGGTATATGGTATGTACACTATTATTGATATTCATCAATCTATCATCACTAGGTAACCTAGGCTTTGATACTTAATCTTTAATTAATATCTTGTCAAACTCGGCTCAAACAACTAAGGTCATTGAACATGATCGATCTTTTAAGCGTACTGTACGTAGTAACTCTCTATGATGCATGCATGCAGGTTGTCAAAAACTCCATGCGACATCATTTTGTTCGCAACAACGATGAAGGTAAGACACCACAGGAGATCTTCACAACCTCACACAAACATCTTCGAAAAGAAGGCAGTGATTGGCTAGTCAAAACCTCCGAATCATGCTCTGTGGTTGCTGCGCTCATTGCAACAGTTGCCTTCGCAACATCAGCATCTGTACCGGGCGGACTGGATGATAAAACTGGTTCACCGGTTTTCGAAGACAAGCCGGCATTCAATGCCTTCACCATCTCATCACTGCTTGCTCTCTGCTTGTCGGTAACTGCCCTGGTCTTCTTTCTTTCAATTATTACGTCTCGATACGAAGTAGATGATTTTTCCATCAGCTTGCCTCGGAAACTTTTGCTGGGTTTAACATCACTCTTCGCATCTATAGCTTCCGTATTAGTCTCATTCTGCACAGGGCATACGTTTCTCCTTAATCAACAACTGAGACACGTGGCATATCCATTATATGCAACAACTTGCATTCCGATCACAATATTCGCTCTTGCCCAACTGCCCCTCTACTATGATCTCATAAAGGGAATCTTCACAAAGGTTCCACAACAGACATACATGGAGTAACGAGGACTCGATCATGTATTGGCTTATTGGCGCTACAAATAGTGTTTGTGTCGTGTGTGTGTGTGTGTGTTTTTTTGTTGAAACAAGTATTGGTTTTAGTGTGTTGTTTGAAATTTGCTTCCAGACTGGGGTGAGGTTTATGCGTAAGAAGTGTTTCCTAATTAAAAAGCAAGTCATATAATGTAAAACCTATTCATTCTAAATAAGCTTATTGGAAGGATATATTTCACTTTGCCCTTGAAAGTTAAAATGACTCACTTTATCCCTTTGATCCAAGTTTGTTGTTCCAGTTTACCCTTTACAGTTAACTCTATTCAAAATTCTGTTAAAATTGATAACGTGGTGGGGGTATTTTAGTCCTTTTGTATACATGGGTTAAAGATAATAAAAAACAAAATGTCTCCTTCTCTGACCCACCCCACCCATCCGAGAGATACTCTCATGCAACGGAGATACCACTTTTTGTTATCCCCGATCAATAAAACAATGACATGAGATAACTTTTTCACGTGTCCTTGAGATAGCAAAACACAAAACACTGTTATAACCATTACAAAAAAAGATATTCCCCATTCTCGCCGCCACAACCTCAACTTCGACATCCAACCACCACCTCCCTCACCCAACCATCACCTTAGCCAAAGCCACCACCCACCCCTTCCCCTCGAGGTGGATGCATAGAGGGACAAATGGGGTCAAGTGACCCATGGCAGCCAGCAAATCAACCGTGGAGGTCTCAAGCAACCCCAAGCCTTGCTAGTGTGTGACCCCAAGGTGCACACTAGCTGAAAAATGAGGTAAAGTGAGACAAAATGAGTTTCAGGGGGCAAAGTGAGACTCAAATACACTTTAATAGGGTATATCAAAAATAAGCCTATAAAATATACACTGGATTGTTTTTGGGTGGTGGTGTATTTTGGGATTTTTCCTCATTTCCCCATTTTTTTTTAATAAACTGATACAAAATACCATCATTTTTCTTTTGGTGGAAAATAAAAGCGCACCATTATAGGAAATTTACTGTTACAGGAGGAGATCATAACAAAATCATAACGTGCTTGAAATCAGTTCATCAGATTAAATCCGAAGCTCCAACATATACAGTAGTGACAAAATCATAACGTGTGATTCGACCGGATTAAGATGAGAGAAGTCGGTGGCAGAAGACGGCGCCGTATCGCCCTCGGGAACTGCCCGAAGTGGCCAAGCCTGTCCATTTCCTCAACGCCTTCACCTTCATCCCTTAACGGCACACAGAATCATTAAAGATAAAACCGCTCTCTCTCATTCCCCACAATAAGGAAGAAAAAGAAAATTTCAGAGAGCAAAAATCGTTCACTCAACTCGGTATTGTCAAATTCGGTGAGTCAAAATAACTCTCCATGGCTTTCTGTTGCTTGTTACTCCAATTGTGTTCATGTTTGATTGATATTATTGTTTGTATCTCACCTCTCTGTAGTCAATATTAAATTATATTGTCTGTTGTTTGTTTGATTTTTTCCTTGTTTTTTTTTATGGTATTAAGAATTGTTTGATATAACAATGGACTGTGTTGGGTTTCATATAACAATGGAAAGCACTGAAATTTGGAGTTTGATTAGGTCATTTGAATGGTGGTGGATTCAAGATCCAAACTTCTGATATATTTTAATTTCTTTGGTTCATTATTGTTCATTGTGTGCTAAATGATATCGGAAACATACCAAAATGGAAATTTTTATTTTTATTTTCTATTGAATTAGTGTTTCGGTGTTCGAGCAGAGGTTCAATTGTTTGGTTTGGTTAGCTGCATCAGTGATAAATGATTTTTCAGGAAAATGACATGCCAAATGATACATTCGTGGAGGTTTAACGAGCTAGTGGGTGCATTTCTTGATCTTGCAATAGCCTATCTTTTACTTTGTGCCGCAGCTGTTGCCTTTTTTACCTCCAAATTTGTGAGTTTGTTTGGATTGTGTCTGCCATGCCCTTGTGATGGGTTTTTTGGGACCCCCAGGAAAAGTCACTGCTTTCAAAGGCAATTCGCGGATGCCCCATGTGAGAAAATCTCTGCAGTTCAATGGGCAGTGAAGAGCAAGTTCCCTTTTGATGTACTATGGTCTGAAGACTCAAATATCGATTCTAAGTCCAAGTTCGTAAATGAGACATATTATGAGAATGGGCATTTTGAGTTTGAAGGTGAAGCGTCATGTAGCTCATTGTCAGAAAGGAGGTTGCTAGATATGGTTGAGAGTGATTCAGTTGCCGAGAATGACCAGAGTGTTGAGTTTGGTGTAGCAAACTTGGAAGCTGGGAAGGAACAACATTTTGAACTTAAGCCAAAGAAGGTTTCAGGTCGAAGGCCGAGACTTCGCCGCCGCCGCCGCAGAGGGGGCTCTGTTGATTATGGAAATCCAGTATCAGTTTCATCATATGACGTGTTCTACTCAGATGCAGGGGACATTTCTACATCTCCTTCCAGCATTAGTAAAATGGGGAATGAGGTTACTGAAGTTCTTGTCAATTCAGGAGGTGATAGTCATTTAATCTAAAGCTAACTATTGAGTCTTTGTAATGCTGTTTTAGGTTTTCTGGTGCCAATTTCTTTCTCATAATGTACTTCTAAGGCATTGTTTAGAGCCAGTAAATTAATGCTGAATTGCCTGCGTAGACTTCATAAGTAGTACCTTTTAGAGAGATGACAAAGGGGGAAAACAGTTAGTACTTTTATTTTATTACTAAAACAATATTGTTTATAACAAGGTGGTTGCCTCGTATAGCATGTGAACGAAATGGACATTTATGGTTCCATGCCCATGGCAGGAATAATGTGGTAGAATTGAACCTTATACCATTTTTGTTATGTTTTCAAACATTTGAAGAGATATTTGTTACATTTCTTTTTTAGAAACTAACATCTCTTACAATTTTTTTTTCCAAAAAAGAAACAGTATGAGACATTTGCTTCGTAGTAGGAAATTCATAAATATTGAATTGGATCTTAGTTCTAAACTATAGATTTACTCTGAGATATTACCTTTCGAGTTTGAGTTTTGAGGTGTTTTCCTTCAGCCAAATTTCACACATATTTGTGGAAACTATTTGGAAATGATATGTAAGATCTTGCCGATTCATATCATTGCTTTATTTCTGGACATATTATGCTAATATTGCTTTCTTTTTGTTATGTGGATGCTTGTGTACTTTTAGATTGCACTGAAGCTCCTACATATATTAGTTCACCGGATAGCGTTTCACGTCCTGAGTTTAAAGAATCTATTGATGAAACTAAACCGACGGGGAAGGATGGATCAGTTGTTGAAGATTCTGGGTGCAATGCAGGAGAGAAGCTAGGTTTTGACAGTACTGAGACAACTACTGTTAGAGTACTGGAACAGGCTCTTGAAGAAGAGCATGCTGCTCGTGCTGCTCTCTATCTTGAACTGGAGAAGGAGAGAAGTGCTGCGGCTACTGCTGCAGATGAGGCCATGGCCATGATATTTCGCCTGCAAGAGGAGAAGGCATCAATAGAAATGGAGGCAAGGCAATATCAAAGGATGATAGAGGAAAAATCTGCTTACGATGCTGAGGAAATGAACATTCTCAAAGAGATCTTAGTTAGGAGGGAGAGGGAAAAACATTTCTTGGCGAAGGAAGTTGAAGAATTCAGGCAAATATTTTTTGGAGAAGATCAAGTGGATTTTGACATGCATGATGTGGCTACTACACAAGCACAAAAGCCTGCACTGCGTTCAAGTGAGGATCAGGTACCCATGCTGCAGTGGACGAGTGAATCCATTGCTGAGGAGCCAAAGCTGGAAATGAAACATAGTTCTCCTGATTATGAGGTCCCATCAACTGAGATAAAAAATCTTACTCTTACTTTTGGAAACAAACTACCAATTCCGGACTTGGAGGGAGATGTTGACTCTTTGAAGCAGGTTGACATGCATTTGCATCCAAGCATTGACAGCCATCCACGTGTCTTAGATAGTACTGATGAAATCAGTCATGAGTTTCAAGAAAAAGGAGTGGTGTCTATGGATGAGAAACCAGTTTCTCAAGGAAAATATGTCCAGAGGCTAGAGGTATATCGACAACACAGCCAGTCACCTAATCCCCAGGGACTGGGTTTGCATAAAAATATTGTACCTCCCATTGAGCAGGAACTCAATTTAGCTGGTAGCACTAACATATGTGAAGGGTTGGCTTCAAAGACATCTGGGATTGGTACTGAAAATAGGACTTCTATTCCGTACAATAATGATAAGATAGACAAGCATGGGAACAACCAGGATGAGGGAAGCAAAGATCCACATAGCACAGTGTTTAATACACAGGCTGGTGTTCTCGATGTTCATGTTATTGATGACAAGTCTCATCTGTGTAATGAAATGAGTGCTGAGAAAAGTGAACAGCTACCAGCGAATGCTACCTTAGACATTTCTGGAAAACGCAATATTCCAACTACAACTGGGTTGAAAACTCAGCGTAAAATCCAGAGAGGTAGTTCAGACACAGCTAGTGTATTGCTAACAATGAGTTGCCTTCGAGGCAGATCTTTACCTTCTGATATGCGGAGAAATTCCATGTCTGCAATTGATTATGAAAGATTTAAAATTGATAATGAAGTTGAGCAGCTTAGGGAAAGGTTAAGGATTGTGCAAGAGGGAAGAGAGAAGCTCAACTTCTCAGTGGGGCACAGAGAAAGGGATAGAATTCAGCTGCAACTTTTGGAAGATATAGCAAGCCAGCTTCGAGAGATTCGGCAGTTAACTGAGCCTGGAAAGGCCGAGTCCCAGGCTGGAATGCTGCCTCCACTATCTAAGGTGAATTGTCAGAATTTGCATTCTTTTCTCTCTGCATTGACTATGTTGTTCCCAATAAATAAGTGATGTACATTATTATTTACTGTTTTATTTTGTTTACCCTTGTTTCTTCTGTTAACTAGTATCTAGTAATATCTTAAATGATATTCGTCTGTGGCATACTTAGCCAGCTGGCTGCATTTATGTTGCTGGCTTTTGTCCAGTTGCTAGGGATTGTAAATTGTAATTAGCTCTTCTGGTGTAGCATTGTAGGTCTTGCTTATAAGTGCTCTGTTACAAATTAAAATATTACAAGGGAGTGGTTTGATGATAGATGATGAGAGGCTGGAGAAAGAAGTGTAGCTGCATAGATGTTGCTTAATATTGCTTTGTGCTGAAAATTAGAATTGAGGCAAGGGTATCGTTTGATGGTAGCATGGATAAATAATGAGAGGCTGGAAAAAGAATGGGTCATTGAGGAGTTTTTGTGGACCTTCATGTCATAATTTTTTCTTCTTTTTGCATGTGTTTGTGCCCATATGTGAAAAGTTAATCCTTATCATATTATCAGATTACATAGATTTTAGTGATCGCCATTTTACCGTCTCTTTCCCATGAATGGCTGTTGCTGACTGCTGAAAACTAAATTTTCAGGTTATGTCCAAGAAAAGACGATGGCGAACTTTACCTCTACAAGTGCATAGAAGCACTTAAAAGGGCGGAAGCTGTACTCTCATACAAGTAACAGAGCTGGGAAGCTGGTTATGTTGATTTTCAGACAATGCAGGGAAGCGCTTTCAGCTTAGCAACACTCCTACCTAAATGTTTCTTCTGTCTGGTTACCTAGTTTTCACTTGACGCATAAATAGAGAACATCCAATAAGTAATGCAGGATCCTTTTTCATGGGAGTCTGTAACAAACAGGAGGTGGCTGGATAATGGTGATTAAAGAATACATTAGTTTCTTCTTGATGGTATGAGATTATGATTTTGGCCATGTTAAAGCTTCCATATGAAAGTAATATTCCATCATAATAGTTCCCTTTATTTTGGGTCAGCTGGGTGGGTGTGATAGCTTTTTTTATAAATGGAAGTGTCCCATGACTAGTTTTTTTCTCTCCTCCAAAACAAGGCAAAGGCTGCCCCAAGTGTCGAAGCATCAGTTTTGGTTTGTGTTGGGATTTATAATTTGATGCAGAAAACCCTGCTTTTCGTTTTTTTCAGGAGACGAGAAACAAGGAACCTGTCCGACTTTTTTTATTTTTCGTTTTTCAGATAGATACTATTTATTTATTTGCCTTCCGCTTTTCATTTAATTACTGTGTATACTGTTGGAAGCCTACCCGGCCCAGTCCCCACACCACACGGCAAACAAAACTTTATAATCTCTAATCTGTTGACATCACGAAATTCGTTCAGCAAAAGGTTTTCTTAGGAAACTAACTTGGCCAAGTGATGAATTGATATAGATATATCATGATTTTTTTTAATGATAATTGAGGAGGAAGAATCGAACACATAACCTTGATGGAGAAGAATACCATCTTAATTATCAGATGAAATACCATCTTAACTATCAGATGAAACAATATATCGTTTTAATCACTTGAGTTGCAAGCAAGATATTGGATGGAGCAATATGAACTTTAATGTATACTGAGTTCTAATAAAAATGAAACTGTGGCATTATATTTGGTAAACATTATTTGATGAAGTTAATTTGATGAGCCTGGCGACGATCTTAGAAATTGCATTTAATAGGAATAGAAGAACAGGGCTCCAATTACCAGAGGAGTGCAAATTTCATCCAACAAGCATTCCATTATAAAAAGGAAAATGCTACATATCCTCGCTTTTTCTCCCTACTTTTATATCCCAGCCTATTTGGCATTTGTTAAGCATATATTATCTCATTGCATTGAAAAAACATGGGGGTGGTGTAAAACCGTAGAACTCAATGAGAGCAAGGATGCCAATGTCCACCGATAGCCCGACATTTCGGTCGACAATATTTCCGACAAATCCACAGAATAAATAAATCTTGATTTGTGAAGGTCGCAAGTGTAGCATCTTCCTTAAATAAATAAATAAAACCCTCGAATGAAAATCGACCATCTTTGGCAACTCATGGGAACATATAACGGAACCGTTGAACAAAGTAAATACAAATTTCTGCACCACTTACCATGAAACAAGTAACGAAATTTGGAAAGCATACTAACTTAAGCTAATACAAGGCAAATTTATAAGTTAAATATAGAAAACTATACTCGAAGCAAAAGCTTTGCTTTGATAGAAATAAACAGTCAGTCCTACTTGGTCAAAGAGAATTTAAGCTGTCTTCATTAGCTATCGATTCTTTCTGTCTAGGTTAGATTACTACCTAAGCTTTCTTCTTTTTCACCACCTCATTCTCATGCTTCCTCAGATGCATACTCTCATCAGAAAACATCTCCATGTCCACAATGCTAGGCACCGACTCCAGCTCCAGCTCCTGCAGATGCCTCTACATCCAGATCCTTCTTTTTGCAGCTATATCATCATCAGAATCACTTATCTGTTTTGCTAGAATTACTCTCATTGCTCTCATCTGGTGTTTGTGGAGAGTCTCTCGGCTCGGTTTCTTCGATCTTTGCATCTGATTCAACCATGCTTGTATTGCATGTATTGGCTTCAGGAAACCGCTGTTGTAGTGGCACTGCATCACTAATGACTTGACCAGCTTTCAACCTCTCCCGGTAATCCTCCATTTCTATTCGATATCGCTCCTTATCTTTAACGGCTTTCTCCTGATACACCTATAGATTGCAAAAGTGTCAGTGCCTGTTGAAACTGTTTGGACATGATATTGTATGAGTTGAGCTCTTATAATAAAATTATTGGTCCTTACTGATTTTTCAGACTCCTTCAATTTATTCCAGAGTTCACCAATCATTCTACTTATCTCTCTATCCTTCCCAGGATGAAGTGGCTTCAGCCTTGCATGCTGTTCTGCAAAGAAAAAGTTATATCCGCTTCTGTTGGGTTTTGGATGAGCAGGATCCCTCCTTTTAATCTCAGATTTCTTCCTTCGGCGACGACGGTGTACACCAGGAATAATAGCTGAGGCACTCTCATTTCTGTTAACCAACATGCTATAATTTTGTGGGACTTGTGGAACTCCACGTACTGGGTTCATTGGAGCCTGATAAAGTACACCTCTTAGCTTCATTGAGCCTTTGATGACGGTAACAAGATATCCATTTTCAAATTTCCCATCAATAACCCCTGTCACAGTATCTTCTGATGATGCTGTTGTCCTGGCTGCAACAGGAAAATGTTACAGGAGAACTATAAGTTATACATCGTTAGCATTTACCCAAGGAAAATATGTGAATCAACCAAAAATCAGTCTTATTACAACTGAAGTGCCTCAAGAATTATAGTTCTGTTTTCATTCTCAGAACATCTCAACAAGCAAAAAGAACTAATGGATATAATAAACTCAACAGAAATTTCAGAAACAGTTCCCTTGGGAAGAAAGTTCCATGCAGTACTGAAATGAAACAAAATCATAACACATCCAGTTTCCTACCAGTTCTGAAGTAAGTCAAAAGCATTCTCCTGCAGAGTCCACATAACTGAAGTGATTTCTGGTTTAAAATATCCAAAGTTCATTCTCTACTAAGTAAATTAGAAAGAGGAATATGCAACAAAATCATTTCTTTCAATACCATATAAGTCTGGGTAGATTGAAGACTTTGTTCATACTGAATTTATGCATAACGGTTCAACAACTGCTAGAACAAAATGTGAAATGGAAAATATAAAAAAACAATCCTCCAAACCAAAAATTGGTCCAAAGAAAGGTTTCTTCAAAAAAAATAAGAGGGGGAGGGAAAATAATAAGGAGAAGCACCAAATCAGCAAGACTTTCAAAGGCAGTACTAAACAAGCCTCTACAACCCCCCACCCCAATTTTTTTCCACAAAAAAGAAAAGAAAAGAAAAGAGAAACTAAGCTCGAAAGAAGGAAATGAAGTAACCTCCAGGTAATTCTGAGTTTATCTGTGTTGGCTGATGCATAATAGCATGAGCTTCAGCTGCTTTTCGTTTAGTTCCTCCCCTTGCAGCTGGAACGGCTGTCATTGAAGGGCTGTGAGAATTATCTGCCAAAAAAATTGTTGCATTATGAAAATGCACTGCTCCAAAGAACTTATTCAAATGAAAGCTACATGTTCAATGGGCACACCAGAAGAGAGAGGATTCCATGCTTGAGCTTTAAAATAGTAAATTTGTTCATAGTGGAGAAGCAATGAATTATAATATTTCCGCAACACAAAAGAAGCATTTGTAGCTGTGGATGGAAAGTTGAAAACAGCGGTAACTTCCTTCCATCTTCTATCTCTAATAATCTGCAAACTCCATTGGACTAGAAAATCAGTGAACTATGTAGTACTCCTCCTTGGAGAACAAGAAAAACAATTGTTACATGTAATTAGGCACCCCTATCCAACTTTTAAGAAAAGACTAGTCATAAATGTAAAAGTTTACAGTTCTAACTTCCATATACAGCCTCAAACTGTCACATGCACCCACCAGGTATCAGAAAAGTAAGTATATATGAGAAACACAGACTAACATGAAACTTTAGACAGTCTAAACACACATTAAGATTTTCACAAGGATTGAAGCACTTCGACGGATTGATTACTCATACCATACCCAGAATCAGAATCAGATACAAACAGAGGCCAACACACACACACACATGTATGCAGATAAACATATAATAAAAGCAATTATTACACAACTTTAAATCCAGCATGAATATTTTGCACACCATTTGACCGTTATAAGATTAATTTATTTTTTTGGTCGAAAGTTATAAGATTAATTTATAAGCAAACTAATTGAAAAGGAAAGCACACGCAAATTCGAATAAGCACATAACCTTTAACTTTCAATGTAATGTATGTAAGAAGGTTTGATGTGACTATTTAAATATAGAATTTCTTAGAATTTTTTACCTTCTCAATACCCCCACGGGAAGTAACCTCCACAAAGAGTCGATGCAAATCTAGCTCTTTTCCTCCTATAATAGGGATCCTACAATTACAACAGAGACCACGTCAACAGCAGGACAGAAACTCCAGAATTATAAGACAAATAGAGGACAAAAGAGAAAACACATGCCCATCATAGGTACTCCACAATGTGCGACAAAAGCACAAGCTACTTCTACCTTGCAGGCATGCTACCCTGCCTAGCAATATTATAACACACAAAAGAGTGGTTTTAGTCAAAAAGTTTATTGAGACGGTACCTATAAATCTACATGACAAAGACATAGCTCTAATATTTGTCATGCAAACAACAACTCCCCAGTCCAATGCAAGTCAGCCTTGCCTTAAAATTATAAATTAAATTTGGAGGTCGTCAACTATATTGGGGTGATATGCTATTGGACACTACTGATCTACATCTACTCCTCCATAACACCACATCAAAGCATTCCGTCTGAAATTGTCAATTTCATGAAAGAGCAGTGAGTAGACTCCGGAATTTAAAGATGCTAAAAAGGCAGCCAATGCTTTTCAATGCTGAAACTGATATGATGGTTGCCAACAATAAATAAGCAAATGACTTTTTAACCATTATATCATAGACTTGCCAAAGAGCTTGAAGTGTCTAGTGGGATGGAAATATATTCTGGACCATATTCATACAGTCATCCTAACATTGTGCTCATGCACACGATCCCCATCAACCCTCAACTAACCCAATGGTTTATAAGATATGTAGCGGGAACATAAAACATCGTTGAGAAACCCCAAGCTCTTCAAGAATTTCATATGAAGATTTGGATCTCATCCAATTCAAGTAAAACTCTTGATAATCTACCTTTATAAAGTTCTTGATGATCTGTACACCTGCTATGTAAAGTTCACCTTCCTAGAATTTAAACAAATCCTACATAACCAACCCGCAACGAAAAACAAAATTGGAGTAGATGTGTGCCACATCGGCATTCCTCTACAACATGAGTAGGCATCAAATTGGCAATAACATCAAGGCTGAGTTATTTCAAGGAATCATGAAAAGGAAAATACTGAATTAAATAATTGTCACAGAAATATACATAAAGAAAAATCCTCAAAAACAAAAGTACCAGATCTAGGAGTTGGATAAAGTTCCTTTTCAGTGAGCAGTTAGGAAAACTTTTCTTTAACTTTTCAAGTTTGCAAGATGGAAGCATGATCACCTTACCGAAAAAGGGCCATGTACCAATTAAGTAAAAGTGCGGTCTTTGTGCTCTGTTCAGCACAATTTAACAGAAAATTCTGTTCGACAGAAAAGAAAAATATGTAAAAACCCACCAAAACTAGATATCTCAGAAAAATCCAATTAGTTAAAAGAGATTTTGAGAAAAGGTGAGAACTTGATCGGCATATCATGGAACTGGAAATGATGACTACGCACGAGTAACACACCATAAATCAAACATGCAGACCCAAAACAATGGAAGCAAAATCCTTAGTTCATGATTCTTGACTTCAATAGCAAAAAATTTTAACGTTACAGGTTAATTGGTACTAGCAAAAAGCTGAGAAGTCGAAGGTAGAGGATGAAAAGATAAAGCTTACATGAACTTGGTTCCCATTGAAGTATGGAGCTTTTCCAAAGTAGCCATGAACAGCTTAGGATTGGCTACAACTTCCTCGTGTTTAGCAAGAGGTGCTGGGTATGGAAGATAGAGAGAGGATGTGTCTTTCATGAGCAGTGGGCTCTTGCTGGCACAAGATGTGGATGCCATTGCCAAAACCGTCACACCACATCCAAGTCTCCCCTGCCCTTTCCTGTTCAAACATTAACCAGACCACTCCCTACTTGTTCTTCACTGCATAAAACCATAAATACAAGTGAATAAAACAAAAGGTTTTACTTAAAAAAATGAAATGAGAAAAAGAGTTGAAAATCAACCAATGAGCAACAGTTGTAGGTGAAACTAACTGCATGCAAAATGCAGGCAGGAACTCATGAAACACATCAAGAATATTGCCAAAGACACAATCCGAACAGATGAGAAAAAAGCCAAAAAAGTGGAGAGGAAGAAGACAAAACTTAAAGGATAAGTGAAACATAAATATTTGTTGAAAAGAAAGAACAAAAAGAGAACCCCAAAAAGTTTTTAAAATCCCACCATGCAGATTGCAGCAGAGCGAAACTGAAATAACAATGAAGACCGCCTTGACGATAACTCTGAGCCGATGAAATGACTCCCAGTAACAAGGGAGAGGTTCAAAGCCCAAAATAAGCAAAAGGTCGAGCATAGCTGTCACAGCCATAAATTCCATCAGAGTACCGAGGATGTAACAGCAAGAACCCATTAAAATCTCTAGAATAAAAGCTCAGGCCTTTGAAGCACACAGAGGCTAAAAGCAGAAAACCTTTTAGGCTACGGCAATAAAGACTCAGATGTACTAAAGTCTCTGTCTCTCTCTCTCTCTCTCTCTCTCTCTGAAACCAGACTGACAAGCCTATTATAAGCCTATATTGCCTTGCCTGACATTCCAAAGATATCACATATCTAAAAAGTAGTACAAAATTGCACATCAAATGGGTATCTGCATTTACAATGCCCAATGCCTTTTCCATCTCCTTTCTGCAAATTTCTGACACTCATCTCAAGAAAAACGAAAGATTTAGAAGATACCCAATACCAATACCATGTTGGGTTTGGGGCTGAGAGTGCCCAGTGTGCCCATCAATCAAAATGAGCACCCCTTTGAAACAAGGACCCAAAACTCCACCTTTGCCAATGAACACCCCCCCACCCTTCGAAATTTCAAATCAGGAGCTGTGTCCTTCCACTTCCATGGAGGCCTAAGTAAGATATTGTAAAACTAAGAATTACCCTCAATAGAATACGAAACTATTCATTATTTTATTTGTCTATTGTATTCTATGTGTTTCTATGCTTTATAATCCTTTGGATTAATGAGGAATAGAATAATATATGTTTGAGGAATATACAATGCATATTGCATAAAACCCAGATGAAGAAATGACAGACATAACATAAACCAGTCATTCGCATAAATAAGTAAAAATATATATATAAATAAAACTTACCAACAGTGTGAGAGAGAGAGGGAGAATTTGAGCATGCAAAATGAAATGACATTAAGGAAGAAAGCTTATTTGGGTATTATAACCAAAGGGAGGATATTATTTTTGTTCTTTTTCAAACTCTTCTCTTCTTTTTCTTTTTCTTTTTTGGTATTTTCTTTTATTTGAGTGGTGACAATTTCAGAATGCTCTTCTTTTTTTTGTTGGTAATTTCAGAATACTCAATAAGAAAAGAAAGAAAACCCTAATAAAACATACAAATTTGTTTCAAGTGACAAATTTATCCCCTATCTAGTTGTGATGCATGCCATATGTTTTGAAGGATAGTTTTTGGTATTGCGGCAATTAATTCAATGAACCGTATGAAAAAAGAAAAGGGGAAAACAATGGGATGTGATTAATTAAGAAATAAAATATGGAATTAAGGTAAAGAAATAATAATGAAAGTTGGTGAAAGTGAAAGGTGTCGTGAGATTAGCAAAACGTGCCCTATTGACTTTCCGGTTTAAACGGCACAACCTCTCTCTTTTTTTATGTATGTAAAAGTAAAACAAAAAATTACAAGGATAAGAAAGAAAGAAAGCAAAAATAAAGGGTGGGGGTGAGAGACATGGGTGCCGTAACAGCAGCTTCTTTGGTAATTAATATGGCATTTAAATCTCTTTATTATACACACCTTATTTTAGCATGTTTAATGCCCATTTTAATTATCATCACCAACCAAACCTTCAAGATTTTAAATGTTGAAGGGGATATTTAAGATTGTGTGTGGTTAATATAAATATAGGATCTTCATGATTTCTTTAGGGTGGCCAAAAATGGTAGGGCACTTGAATATGCTACTATTTCTGGTAATAGGATTCAGACTTTTTCAATTTATTTAGAATGGTCAAGATATATGTGGTTATTTTTGGCACTTGGTAGAGTTTGTTATAACTTCTTAGGTTTTGTGAAGCTTTTTATGTACAAAAGTGAATACACAAACAAACAAACAATGCACTCTTACCTTAGCATTACATTGAGGTAGAAAACTATGAATTGCATGTTTACATATCAGTACTGAGTATGAGAAGAAATGGAATGATTTTCATTCCTGACTTATACTGCAAATACATGAGTCCTATCTCAAAATTCATAATCACATCTCCTCAAAATCAAGAATCAAATCAACTAGGAAGGGGTAGTTGATCCGATTTTCATTCCTTTTTTCCTTACTACCTTCCAAAAATACCCTTACCACTTTAAGATAATTACAAAACACCCCAGCCTTATAAAAATAAAAACTCACACCACTTTAATATTATCAAGATTATGCTTAGGTTATTATTATTTCATTTCGTTCAAATAAATATTATCAAGATTATGCTTAGGTTATTATTATTTCATTTCGTTCAATATTATTTGAAATTGGTTAGTTTAGCACCACAATATGGAGGAAAATGGACATAAAACGAAAACTATTGACACTTATTATGTTATTCCATCACATACAATGAAGAAACTAAACTTAATGGCTGTTTATTAATCACTATTAAAAAGAGCAAAATTTTTCCTTTTTCACCTTGGTTGCTAGTCTCTACTTGTCTTGTTATGCTTCTTATCACTGTGTCATATATTATTTATTTATTTTTATTATATTTATTATATTATTATATACTCTCTTTTTTCATCGCTTGTTATATAGTATCTTATATTATTCAATTTGTTTTTTTTACAAGTTATTTATGTGAAAAATATATATATTTATATGTGTAGGGCATTTTAGTAATCAAATTAATTGAAGTTATGATTCATGAGAATTAGTAAACAATAACAATGGGAATCAACTCTATTCTTGTGTTGATTCCATATGATTAGTAAACAACTTAATGAGAATGATTCTTCTCATATCGATTCATTACTTTATTCATTCCTAATAAGTGAACGGCCCCTAAGGTTGTAATTTGATTATATTCTAGTATTGTTCTATTTATTTATTACCTTCTTCTTAGTTAATTTTTCTTTATGAACATTTTGATAAACTAAAAATTCAAATTTTGACAGGATAAGATTTCATCTCATATCAACCATTGAACCAAGTAAAGTACATTTAATCTCATATGTCAAATGTTTATCTTTTATATCACACCAATCATCGGATCAAATTGTCTTATCTCAATCTCATATATTTATTATATCTTTAAATATAAAATTTGGGGAACAACAACAAACTAGAACAATACTTGATTAAACACATACATAAACTGACTACCAAACATGAAAGAATGTTTGTCCAAAAAAAAAACATGAAAGAATGTTATTACATATTATCTATGACGGCTTGGGACGATGGGCACAATCGAAGAACTGGATGCCAGATTTGTCATAATGTGATTTTATGCATATTCGAACCATGCCTTTATAGCTGAAGTTGCAAATGTGGAAGTGTACACCATATCATAACCTCACGATCTTTTTTATGTTCAGAACTTTGCATTGTAAGACAACATTGCTTTAGCAAGAGCAAGAGGTAGTGGAACGCGGGAGGCCAGGTTTCAGGCCCATTATGATATATTAGATTTCACGGTGTAAGAGCCCCTTTTCAGGCCCATTATGCATGGAGCCCCGTTAGGTCTCTCAAATCAGATTCATTATTTGTTGATTTGTAAAGCGTGGGATGAACTTGCAAGTTGCACGCTTACACAATAAGTAAAAAAAGAAACAAAACATAAAACAAAAGATATTGAATAAATATTGTATCCAATAACGACACTTGCTAAATGGAGAAATACCAAGGACATTATGGAAATTTAATACTATCTTCTTTGAACAAAATTAGGGCTCTTAAAAAGAAGGATTTGTATATTCTGGGAAAGAAAAAAATAAAAAAAGGGATTTGTATCGCGTCCTAGGTTTGATTCCCTTCTTTTTCAATATCGCTTGTATTTATTTATTTTTTTAATTTATAAAAAAATCCCACTAGTATAGTAATATGGAACAATTTCTCCCCAGTAAAGGTTGAGTCCTATACTTTGTTCAAATTCCTCGTATTATGTGAAAAAAAACTAAAATTATTAACCACATGAAAGAAACATAATTTTGGCTGCACCGTAGCTCCTTTCTTTTGATTTTGAGATTTAAATGGCTCGTTTTATTGGAAAAGCCCAACAACGTCGCCACTCCAAATTTGGGGCGGAACTTCATCAAAGGATTATTTGCCTTTCGAAATTCACCAGTCTTCTTCTCTTCAACAACAATATTACCTGCCTCTATGGCTCTGCGTTACCTCTTCGGCGGAGTAACCCACACCGCTGTCAACCATACTCACCTCATGCTCAAGCCCTATATTGGCTTCTATGCACTGTTAAATCACAATGCCTTGATCCCCATTTCTTCTTCTTCTTCTTCTTCAGCGTTTGTATTTCTCCATGGCTCTCCTTCTTTTTCTTCTGCAAACCCAATTTCAGGTTCACAAAGTTGTACAACATCACCCCCATGTGGTGGCACTTGCATTTACATGGGTGCCCACGAGGATGATTGGATCATCAGACTCGCCAAGTTTGCAGTAGAGCAGCACAATTTCAAAGAGGTCTTTTTCCTTTTCCTGTTTTAAATTCTCCATCTTTACGCCAATTTTCTGTCTTTTGTTCCAAACCCAGTTCATAAAATATCATGAACTCCGGCAAATTAAATTTTATACGAAATCCGTTTTGGTTTCTTTATAGGGTGTGTGCCTTTTGTGGAGAAGATTGTATCCAATGCGTCTTTATGGGATGTTAGGAACGTTTCAGTGAAAAGTTACACTTTGGTACTAAATGTGAGTTTTGGTGTATGTTTGTTAATCTTAATTTTGTCAATCTCATTTCCTTTGTTTTGCTAGCATTCTATGGTTTTAATTTAAGGTAGGTTTAAACATTATGTGTGTTTGGCCCCAAAGATGTAGTTATTGAGATTCTTAAGGTTTCTCCCTCTTTCTTCTGGCACTTCTACATAATTTTGTTCATAATGTCAATGTTCTTTTTTGTGTTTGTGTAGAGTAAGAATCTTCAATATGTGAGGGTGTTGGGGGCAAGCCACACTATGGTTTCTAGCATATTGTACCATATTACACTGGAGACAGTTGATGCTACTAAGCCTAAGATTTACCATGCAGTTGTTTGGTTACAAATATTAAAGAACTTCATGGAGTTGCTTGCGTGGAAGCCCGTTAATGACCGCTTGTCGGTTCTTGGTGTTAAGTCCGGTGAGTACAGTCCAAAGATTTCTTTTCACATATTTTACCTTATATCTCAAGTTTGTGACTTTTTTTCACTTGATTTAGGATTCTTGTGCTTTTCTCAATTTGCTAAACACTGCATCTGCATGTTCCCTGAGAAATTGTTGGAAAAGAAAACAATCCAAGTTGTTAATTACTATAAATGTTTTACCTCCAAATCCAAAGTGCACAGGACAAATGCAAAGGCCCCCTCGCATCTTTCCCTTCTTCATTTACTTAAGCTGAACTTTTGAAGGCATTCATTTTCAAGATGTTTCTTTGGTATTCTGTCTGAAGTAAAGAGAGAAGAGATGAAAAGAAATGAACACATGATGTTTTGCTTCATGAAGGCAACCAATTGAACTAGCCATCCAGAGAGGCGAGTATTGGATGCCCTAGGAATCTACAATATCAGCCCAATGATAGGCATCACATAGGCCTAGTCAACATAGTTAGCATGTAAGATCACCCTAAGCATAAGAGCTGACATGCTTTTCCATTAGTCTTTGCTTATTCCCAGGTTGTTGAGGGGAACTTAGATACTGAACATTTATGACACTACTGTTTGATAGTTTAACCACCCATAGAGAGACTTATGTAATTCTACATCTTGGGTAGGAGAAAAACTTGACATCCTTTCGTTACTACCATGCTGCCCCTTGAAAATTTATCTGATCTAGGATTTTTACAGCTTCTATTTTTTAAACTTCTACTTACTAATGCAATGTAGGGATCCATGGAACAACCAACAACCATGACCCTGTACTCGTGTCTTCACATAGGTAAACTTGTTTAAAAGTCGTCACTTGCAAGCCAATTTGTTTTCCTTTATTAAAAACTATCCAGTCACAGTTTATCAATCATACTACCCGCACAATCACTTTAGCCACTCAAACCATATAATGTATAGGACTACAACAACCTTAAAGTAAATCCCTGAGTCGTGCCAGGTTCTATTTGGAAACTTGATATTCTAAAACAGCTTAATAGTGGTTGATGTTGCCTCTAGTCTAGAAAATCCTATCCATTGTTTGTTAAGTTTTAAATCGACGTTTATGCTTTTGTCATTCTTGAGCTGTACTTTTCTCTGGCTTTTGTAGTTCTCAGTGTAGATAGCTTTGGTAGCATCTTCGTAAAGGAATAGTGTTATTTATCCTGCTTGTATGTATTTTCACAGCATTTCTGTGGATGTGAAGCATAGAACAGTTATTATAGTGGCAGCAATGAATATTTGAATACTTATTCTGTAGGTTATTTTAGTGGCAGCATTAAATGTTACTAGTATCACCCTTGAGGTATAAACGTATTACATGCATCCATTTGTAAATACTTGTATAAAGGATTTTATAGATGACATGTCTATGAGTAATGCTAGTGGGGTCAGAGTTTTTATCCACATCAATTGATCAAATGCTCGGGCAGTTGATGTGTTAATTAACAATTGGACTTAGTAGCGATGTACTGAATACATATGAACTGCCACATCACATGGTTAGATAATTGGGTCTCTGTAGTATTTTTCTTTGTTTATTGTCTAATTACTTGTTGAGCCAGTCATTGAAAGTGGCGAACTTTCATAGTTGAAAGTATCAACACATCTGTTAATCGATATTGGCTGTTCGCGGATGCCTTCTCTGACAGATGTGTGACTGAATAAGAAAAATGGAACAGCTGAGGTTTTTTTACATTGTTGTATAGTTTGTAGTTAATTACGGTAGTGAAAGAGTTTCATTCTCTGAATGCCTCAAAAGTACATTTGATGAGTGTAGCATTGTCAATGTACCTCCAGAGGACAGATTTTCGTGCATACCCTGAGAAGCAAAGAGACATTAACCTGACAGTACATGCCTTGAAACTCCATGGGTAATAAAAGTAATAAATTTGACACTAGACCCTGAGCTTTGGGATCTATGCTTGTATGCTTAGGGATCACATGAAAAGCTTTGTGATGCAGAGTAATTGCCATCTTTGACTTATAATCTGTATTACAAGTTGAGAGTGTTGGTCATGCAATAGGCAATTGAATTCTTTGGTCTTTATGCCCCAATTTCAAAGTTTTTCGCTTGCTGGCTTATATATGTTTTTCTTTATGTAATTTAGTTTCGGTTTCACAGGGACTGTTTTGGATGTCTTATTTGTTTTACGCAGGTGATTTGAAATTGCATGAAGCTGTTATGTTTTATATGAATGATGTACAGCGAGATCGCTTCCTAAACTGAATGTACAAAGCCTACCTATCTAACTTCCAAATTTGGATACGCCCGGCACATTGCATCAGTCACTCACATACAGTTATGTGAGGCCTACTTTTGTACGGTGAGCCACACGTGCTTGTATAAGTGTCCAATGCCACAAGTAGTACTTGTTTTTGGTTGGAACAAATATTCCTCCTAACCTTGGACCAAAAAAATATTCCTCCTAACCTTTGAAATTCGCCTTTTCAACCTTAAACAATGTATAGTAAATAGTGAATTTTGGATATGTTAATTATATAATCTCCAGTAATGTTTACTTTTCCTTTTCTATCTATTTATTAAGGGAAGAGAAGATAGAAGATGGAGCATATGTTCATCTCACGTGGTGAATGGTTAATGATTTATTTTGTACATCTATGCAGGGTGATTTTCTGTTGAGTGTGGCCTGGATCTTTGTTTTTGGATTATTTTGCTGCTTGAAATATGGGAAATCTAAAACGTCAAATGAAAGCTCAATCATTCAATATAAAACGTTACTTCCAAGAGCTAAAGTTGTAGAAGGAAAGGAACAATGTTTATATGCATGTCGATAAAGGCAAGGGATGCCATTCAAAAATTAATTTAGAGTTAATGTAACATTGCATACTTCCTAGTCCAGTCCTTTGCTATTTCAATGGCTTTCTGTTTGTCTGTTCGGAAGAGAAGGCAGCACGGATTGAGAGGGTCCATTGGATTTGGATCATTAAGAAGTGAGCATATGGAGAGCAGCAGGCTCTCAATGGTCTGGACTGGGTTCCATTCTTCTTCTTCCAAAATGTCTATGTAAATTGTCCCATCCTCACCAATGTTTGGATGATAAACCTGCATAACACCAACATATGGCACATCTGTAAATGAATTGTTGGAAAAAGGACAAAGGCTGCAACAATTTCATTATTGAAGCTTATAACGGCGACATGAAAGTTATGCAAGTGAATTATATGAGCAAGTACGGTATTCCATGCAGAATGACAAGAAAGATTTGGATGAAAATTTTCAGAACATCTAATGCAAGTTGCAACTAGTTTTCGTTTATAGAAACATAATGATTCAGAACCCAACTTGAAAACATGAACATTTCTCCTTATATTGTAACGCGTTCTAATCAAGACTGTTCATCCAAAGGTATAGAAACACCTAGAATTAATAAGAGACTAAGATGATGAACAAAACAGACTTCTGTTGACTTCGTCCCAAAAAAATAAAAACAGACTTGTGTTGACTTGACTCAGAATGCAGTCTTTGTCATTGATCTTTAGAGTGATGCTTGTCGTTTAATCCGCCTTTTGACACATGTTTTCACCTTAATCACATGCATCATCATCCGATTGCAAAATTATAATAGACAAGATGTCTGTGTAGACAGTAGATACATTACCTTGGTTAAAAATTTGATGGTGGGAGGTTTGGTAGGATAGTCTTGTGGTAAATCGATGGAGAGAAAAAAGACACCTCCTTCATAAGGAGAATATGAAGGCCCCATGATCACACCTTGCCATTTGAAAGGCTCATCTTCATTTACTGGTCCATAACTGCAGTGTGTTGGGAAGTCTACTTTTCTGAACCCCTCCCTTTTGTAAATCCAGTGCTCTGCAACTTTTCTGTCCTTCATGACAATTTATATTTTTGTTAGTTTGATCAAGCATCATAGCAAACAAAAATGCAAACCCCATAAGAGGAGAAGTTAAGTTGATCCCACAAAAAAAAAGAAGGAGAAGAGAAACCACCTATCCGGCATGCTCTCCGTGTGCATGCAGCAGAAGTTTGATCAACAAAGCAAGATAGTGAGAATCTCAACAGTTAATTTATGGCCAGCAAAGCTTCGATGGATAATAAGCACGAGAGAAAATGGAAAAAAAAGTAGGTAAATCTTTCTACTTGGGAACCTCCTATGTGTGGCTTTATTTATCTTGTGATTTTGATTTTTCCATGTTCCTGGAAAAGAGGTAGTCATTTCTTGGAGCTTGACTTCAACCGCGTCAAATTCAAGAAAAATCTTGTCTAAATGGAAAAGTGACTGACAAAAATCGCGTGAGGGAAATTCTTGTGCAGTTTCGCTCCTTGTTTTCCAAAGGAAGAGCATTGACCCAGTTTTTTGCCAGTTACTAGAATATGGCAGGTTGAAGGATGGTCACTCTTTTATAGTTACTAACTAATATCAACTAACTCTTGATCTAATCTAATGGTATTTATCTTATCAAAAACGAGATTATAAGTAATTCCCCATCGCAATTGAAAAAAAAAACGAAAAAAAAACGGACAACTTACAATTTCGCTTTAGAGCAAGACCATTAGAGGCAATATTTGGAGTCAATAGTCAAAATCATGTGGGATGTGGATAAGTGATTGGCGCCATTTTCCCAAATGCAATGAAAATTTCGTCTAGCTTTTGACTTGAAAGTGAAAAGCTGTTTCAGACCAAAAACAAAAAAAACAAAAGATTGAAAAGCAGTGGACCTCACGAGTTTGGAGAGAGGACTGGCCCTGGCCCAAGGTGACGTACTTAGGGTCCAAAGTATCAAAGAATAATTTTAAAATGTTATAGCCGCGCGGCTACACATGGGTCCCTTTTTAAACTAACTGATAATATAGCCGTGCGGCTTTACTACGGTAATTTTTTTTTAAAGGAATAGTATAGCCGACCGGCTATACCTCGTTTGACCCGTGGGCGCCTATCGGCTACGTACGGCTATATGGAAGTTTTTTTTTCAAAACGGGTATAGCCGGACGGCTCTACTCGAGAATTTTTTTAAAAAAAAGTATACCGATACTCTTTTTACACTTAGGCAGACAGTGCCGCGCGGCTATAATCGGATATATATATAAATTTAAAATTTAAAATTATTTTTTAAAATTAATCGTATAGTCGAGCAGCTATACTCTTTATATATATATATATATGGATCCTTTTTCAAGCTCCATTCAACGTTCCAAATTTGGCAACAGTAATATTCAAAAAGGTATTTACATTAGACATCTTTCCATTTCATAATGCATAGTTGAAAAATCATGCATCACTGTTTAAAAGTGCAAAACCTTCGTCACAGAACAGAAAAGTTGTAGAAATAAAATCAAGAGATATTTAGTGATATACCCATTCTTAGCACTAATATTATAGATAAACCCTACATCATTGAATTTCTATAAACAAACCCAAAAAAAACCCCAAAAATGACAGCTGGCCTTATTGAATTTAATATTGATTATTAAATTACTTTAATACCTTATTAAGTGTTTTGGGTATTTTTATGAGATTTTGAGGTTGGGCTTGTTTTAAGAAATTTATGGTAGTTTTGTAATTTATAAAAAGTTAAGGCCTCTTTGTTATGTTGTAAATGGGTTTTGGGGTGTGTTTATAAAGTTAATTTCATATGGGGTATTTTTATAATTTGGGCCCCCATATTGGATATATTTGTGAATCTCCCTAAAATCAACAGCCACGGAAACTAAACTTCATAAGAAAAATAAAGGAAAATATATCACTGCATAAAGAACATCTTTTAAGATAGAAAAAAAAAAACCAAATTGGAGAAAGCACAAATCTGATAATCTAACCATTCACTGCAAAAATTTGGAAAAGAAAAAAGATGAGTTACATGCCTATATACTGAATAAAATAATAATAATAATAATTATTCAACACGACATCAATTTAATCAGTGAAATCGTGATTTCGGTATCACATATCATTTTTTGAAACGAAAGAAAAAAACAAGGAAAGGTTATGAATCAGAAACCAGAAGAGCATCCCATATCATGTCCATGTCCAAAGAGGGCATTCTACTTAGCTGAACAGCATCCACATCTGCTGATACTAACTCCTGCTGGCTTTTCGTGCTTTCAATTACCACCTGATGATCAGATCCAACTTTGCTCTCCAATCCAAACTGCCACTCTTTTCTTGTTGGGTTTTGGCTGAAATTACTATTGATCATGATATTTGAGTACTTGTGATCATCATGATCATCAGCCGAGTGCTTGTTTGGTGATGCTAATTGTGATGATTTGGACTCCATGATGGCCTTCTGATGTGCTTGTGATGAAGATATTGCTTGTAACTTTGCTTCAAGCAGAGCAGCTGTGTTTCCTTTCAAAGCATTGGCCTTAAGTTGATGCTTCAAATCTGGGAAATTCAAATGGGCATGCTCACCACGCAACATGTAGGCGGCTGTGTCATATGCAATGGCAGCCTCCTCAGCTGTGTCAAAAGTCCCCAACCAGACCCTTGTTCGGTTTCTTGGTAATCGAATCTCAGCCACCCATTTCCCCCAATGCCTTTGCCTAACTCCTCTAAATAGCTTCCCTGGAGATGATGATGCTGATGACAAATTGTTATGAGGCTGCTTGTGGTGTTGATTGATCTGCTGCTGCAATCTTGATGACCTTCCAGTGCGTTTCATTGGCTGCGTCTTCGTCGTGCTTAGCCAGTAATCATTGAAGCCTTTAGATGAATGGCTTGCTAAATTTTGATTCAATTTAAGCCACTCAATCATGCCCGGTTGACGCTGAATTTGGTCGATTACTTGAGGAGTAGGAAATGAAGGGGTTGATAAATAGGGGAACATACTAGGCTCATCACATCCTTTGGTCTTGCCAAGTGAGTCTACAACTTCAACTTGCGTGGACGACGAAGATGATGATGATGATGAGGGATCTAACAGATTTGGCTCCTGCAAAAACAAAGTTAAGTTTGGAAATTTTGACCTGTTTGATGACAAGGAAGGTGGAGAAGTAGGTGGTTGATCAGAAACTTGAACTCTACTCAGCTGAGGAAATGTTTCCAAGAAATTTACAGGAACAAATGGACTTTTGGTCAATCCAGGCATGTTGTCAATCAAATTGGAACCAGAAGAAGAAAACTCCTCTGTTGAAGAACTACTAGACTCTGGTGACAGTGATGATTTTGATCCACTGCCACACCAAATGGCTGGATCACCAAACAAATTTGATCCAATATCACTTGCCATTCTTGGAAAATAAGATGGCAATTGCTTTGCTATGAAGGTTTCCAACTTGGGAAACTTACCATCCATGCTAATAAAAACTTTGAGGGCAAACAGAACACACAAAGAAAAGAATGGCACAGAAATAATGGAAATCATGAATGCACTATGCTATATATATTTACCTCTGAAGGCTAAAGCTCTCCTCATCATGTGGCAAGTATTTTGCTGCTTTATTAGAATATTAAAGGAACCTACTTTATGTCGATAAAGCAAAGCTATTGTCCGAGTCAGATCTCTCTCTCTCTCTCTGCTCAATTGACAAAAAGAATAAGCTCACCATCTTCCATTTCCTCCCCCAAGCAAATTCGTGCTTGCCAATGTTCTTTCATGCCACATTGCAGCCAATCAGAACCTGACAGCTCAGGCCCTTCTTAGCTAACTTGGCATGTAGGGTTACATGTTATGCAGTGAATCTTCCCCAGTGATGGTGACTGCATGAAAATTTCAACCTTTTACTTTCATGGGTTTTTATATATCATGATCATGGATTTTTGATGTCATTGATCATGTGATTTTCTCTAACACCCACATGCCTCATTCCCCTTCTTTTTACTTTCCAATTGAGTTTTATATATAAAGTTTAGACCTTTCAATATATATAACACAAAACTTCATTTTCCGATACTTAAGCTTGTTTTATACAAGTGTACATCTGCTAATAGTTGCTTAATTAGTCTTAATTTTAAGCCAACTGAGATGGCCAACCTTATGACTGGTCCTACATTGCAGGAAATCAGTGGAAAGCTCATACAAATGTTGGTACCAGAGGCTGCATTTATCAATATTATCATCGAAATAATCATTAGGGTTGAACCAGCCTTAAACCCAATTTAATTCAGCTATTATGTTAGTTAATTAATTTTATTTTAGGCCGGGATGTTGGATTAATTATTCTATAAGAATGAGGAAATGATGACTATCTTTTCTGGATCTAAGCATTAAACAAATAGTGATGAAAGCTATCAACACAGGTATACCTTGTTTGGCTTTTTCTTGGGGCATCATGAGCATATGTGTCTTTTGAAGAGGGTTTGGAGACACTCAAGCACCTCATCAGCTCAAGCAAATGAAGGTAAAAGCCAGAGCTAGCAAGCACTGCCACTAATTTCTCTCCACCTCAAGTGGTGAGGCTGGTTTTGAAATGATTAAAATTTCCTTCATTTGTGTGGTGCTGTTAAGTTTGCAGCCATTTTAAGCTAACCATTTGGGTCAACGCCACTTGGAGGGAACCATTCCAAGTGAGGAAAATACAAATATATATTATACTATAGAGAAGGAAAAAGAGAGAATAAAGAATCTCAAAGAAACTCTCTTTATTTTTTCACTTTTTATTTTTGTTTTGGCAAGTTTTGCAGTATTATTCTAAGGCTAACTTGTTTGTCAATGTTATCTTACAAAACAAGCACATGGCTATGGCTGAGGCTAAGCTACCTATATTATGTTTTTTTTACATTCTTAATTGAGGAGGATTAGTAGGCAGAGGGCACGAGGCCATGTTTTCAAATGTTAGCTTTTGCTTTCTGTTTCCTTGATCATATATATCTTTATTCCTTCCTGTGTTTTGGACCTCAAAACCTTGAAACAGAAGGAAATAAATAAATAATGCCCTCATTTCCAAACACACACACATCAGCAACAGCTTTTAGATTAAATTAGATGGAGAAGGAGCTTGGTCAATGAGTGGATGACAAGTCATGAGTGGGGACTCAGTGCCCCTATCTATATAATATTGTTACTCTTGTGACAGGCCTTGCTTAATTTTCTTACAATCTTCCATCAGTTTCTCTGTCTTGAAGATAAGCATTTTGCAGCCTAGCAAAGCAAAGGAGACACATTCATTGTGCCTGGTTGTCCAGTTTCTTTGTTTATACCATTATCTATTTATAGTTATGGTTTGTGGAGTAATATTCGCTTACCAAACTTATGTTATCAGACAAATACTTATCTCGCATAAATCTGAACCCCAAATTTAAAAAAGAACCAACCTAATTTGTGGTCCGGATACAGTAAGAGAAACATTTCTCACGATTTCTGCAGCTATTTCATGTTGTCTGATGCATGTTATAGGAGCTTTCAGAGGTGGCTCTACTCATGTGGCTACGGACTATGATAAATTGATAATATAATAACACCATATACAACTGGGGTACATTGCATATAAACAACAGATCTAGTCATTTGTAATTATCATTTAAATATTTTATTTCATTTTGGCAAACATGTTGAATATTCTACATCTGTGGTCTGGTGTGTGTGTCTGCGCGCATTTAAGTAAATGGGGGACACAGAAATTTGTCCCTTGTCAACAGTTTATAACCTTAGCTCACAACTATAATTAGTTTAAAGTATCATGGCATCATGGATAACCAATTAATTAATCGCTCATTTGAGCTTAATTAAGCTGACCCTCAAATCAGAAAGAAAGAAAAAGCCAACAGGTTCATTTCTGGTGCAACTACTTCAGGAATTTGACTATTATATGTATATATGACTTCCCCTTTACTTTATTCTTCATCAGCTTCTTTTTTTTTTTTTTTTTTTTTTTTTTTTTTTTTTTGAATCAACCGTTTTTGATCAATTTTTTTCATCCCTCCACGTCATCAACCTCCCACTCCTAACTCCTTCCCTCACTGCTGCTAATCCTTTTGTAACAGCACACAGCAGCACCATATATATAAAGTTAGATAAGATGAAACATGACAAAAGATAGTGTAAAAGATGAAAACAACTGCATCAAAGTGGAATTCTTCTTGTTCAAATGATTCCATCTTTTGTTTTACATCACTTAGACTTTCCATCTTTTCTAGCTCACAAGAAAGAATTTGTCTAGGAAGGGAATCGCAATATTTTTTTTTTCCCCAAAGATTTATTACTGTTGCCACATACTCACGTAATATCTGATAGTTGAGACATAGTGGTACTTTTATTCTACAATGTTGGAAGACGTCTCAAGTTCGATTTCCCCTTCCAAAGAAATGATCTGATCATGTCATAAAGTACCAAATATTATGATATTTCTATATATTTCTCTTAATTATTATGGATCCATCTTCTAAACCCAAATTAAGAACCAAATTAAGGCTTAATCGTGTATGCATATACAAGCATGAATTTAATAATCTTTGCGATATGTATAAAAATCATTACGTAGGCAGGCAGCAAAACCTCTTGGAAGTTGAACTAGAAAACCTTATCCTGCTGAAAACTAAGTTGTACTTTTTTTTCTTTAATCCCAAACTAAGTTGAACTTTGCTTATCTGTTCATGAGTAACATCATGACTTCCACCATCACCACCAATTGATCCAAATAAACTAATTTATTTTAATTAAAAAAATAGCATGGAATGCGCTTTATCTTTTATTTTGACAAAGCATGATTACCAATGCCGTTGTGGTTATCAACTTATCATTAGTTAAATCATGGCTAACTAAGGTAGGCAGAGAAAAAATGTGGGCCATTGTAAATTTGTAATGTAATGTAAAGAGAAATCAAAGACATTGCTTTAAATTTTTAGTTATTCTTTTCAATATGCTTTTTAATTAATATATAATTAAACCATCGACTCTTTCTCGTAACATGACCATGTCTAGGTAGTAGTAGTTCATCAATTTCAATTTTAAAAGGTTTCTCTCTTGCGAAATCAATTGTCTGTTTGGTTATTGTCTCTAATATGCAATTTATCCATGCAAATTTAAAAAGGTGTTCATAAAATGCCTCAAGGCTTACGCCTCGCTCGCTCGCTCCGGAGCACAAAAAATGTTTCGCTTTTCAAAACATTAGTTAAAACTTCAAAACTGTTCTGAATTGCAGAAATAGCTTTATTTCCTTAATTTCATAAATAAATAAAAAGTCTAAATATATTTTCATGGTTGAAACTTGTAAGAGACAAACGTGTCTAAACTGGCAATTAGCTGTACGGGTTTATTTGCATGAAGTCATGGCGTTTTATTTGCAGAAATTGATTCCCCATTGACATGTTCAAGTCTTAGGATAAGCCTTTAGTTCACCAAATAACACAAAGGTCACCGTTGAATATATCATACAATACAATGGCACCGACTCCATTACATAAAGTTTTACTTGTTTATTTGATCCATTTTTCTTTCGCTTGTAATTTTTGTTTGTCTAAACACTTGTGGGGTCGAGAAATTCAGTGTGACATATTCAGAGCAGAGTTTCTAAACGTGAGGGTGATTAACTGGAAGGAGTCTTTTTTTATTTTATTTTAAAAAAAGCAATATTGGGGAAATGGGGAATCGAACCTAGGACCTAAGATGCAAAAGTAAATGCTCTTATCCACTTGAGCTGCACTGGAACTTGTGTTTGTTCTGCAATGTAGTTTCACGGTCGAAGTTCCAACCATTCTTGAAAACCTTGTTCAAAGAAGACAATGAGGTACAACAGAACAATCGATCACATTCATGAGATTTAAGAAATTTAACCATCACATTCATGAATCCCTTCTCTCTTTCTCTCCATCACATATTAGTGTTTCATGTGAGTTTTTCTCGAGGAGGTTAACTTAAAAAGAAGCTCGGGGTTTGTCTACATGAAGATGTACATCCACCTTCAGCAATTACCATGCCATGCAATGTGATGAAGCTTTCATTTGGGAGGCTTGGGAGCCTCTGGTTTTTTCCATTGCTGTTGGTGAAGACCCTATTTTTTCTCCTACAACGGTCATCTCTTTCTCAATAACTTTACCCTATATCTATTTGCCACAGCTATCTCATATTCTCATTCTCATTCTTGCTAGAAGAACCTTGCCCTATATCTGGGTTCTGTACGCGGTATGTTAAACTAGTAATAAAGGCATCTATTTGCTACAGCTATCTCAAATTCTCATTTTCATTCTTGCTAGAAGGACCTTGCCCTATATCTGGGTTCTGTATGCAGTAAGCTTGAACATAAAGATAATCTAGGACCACTGCATATGATACTAAATTTTATTGTACTAGTGTACACACGGATGCGCAGCATGTGAATGTGTTCGTTTCGTTGCAATGGAAAACACAACAGAATCATCTAGTGCACATGGAGACAATTGAAACATCAAAGCATCCAAGCTTTAATGATCATTGTCTCTGGGTAGTTTGATAGTTCTTAAAATGACTAGGTTGCTGGGCACATCTTTATTTTTCATTGTAAAGAATGCTAGATTCTTATCACAATAAGTAAAGAACGTAAGATAAAACAAAAGTCTCCTTAAATAACTTCCACCAGAGTAAAGACTTTCTTCTCTTGCTTCAGAAGACTATTAAGACATTCCTGTTCCGCAAAGGACGTGATTAATTTTCCATTCATGTCGAAACACAACCAACACAGGTTCTCCCCATGTTTGAAATACCCAAAGAACATGGCTTGCACTAATCTTGTAATTTCATTTCCCAAAAACATGGCATAGTAGTTTTGATGTCCTACATGTACAATTTTCAGTGACGGTTTGTGGTGGAATGTGCATCTAGGCATGCTTCTAAGTTGAACAAGCACCCGCAGTGAGGGTGTGCATCGCTTTTCCTATTTCCCTTTTAAAGGAAAAGAAGGCTTACTAACAGAAGAAGATCTCAATGGTCTTTGTACTCGCCACTCAGAGCATGCCTACTAACACGGAAAGGCAAGAGATGACCTACAAGAAAGGTGATTGCCTCTTCTCCTTCCTTTATCTGATTATAATATCATATTGTTTCCTTTCAGTCCTCTTACTCCTCCACAGAATATTAACCCACTCAAACATTTAGAGGATGATACATGCTCCATATATACGAATCCACATCAAAGCAGTATCCCTAGCTAATGAGACTCTTTCCTTCAGTAACAGATTACAAATGCAAACAGTGTAGAAGACAGAAAAACAAACCACGGAAGTTGACATGTTTTAGCCAATGGTCAATCAATCCTTGAGCCAAGGACAAGGGACCATGCTCTAGACTAGAGACTAGAACACATACATGGGCATGACACCACAAAATAAGTTTTTTTTTCTTGTCAAAAAACCTATGACCTCTTAGGTCCAACCCCTTACATCTACATCAAAGCACCATTGCCAAGGCTTATAATATCTAGCAATTAACTCACATAACAAATGATGTAAAAGACACATTATCTAAAACCTTGATTTGTAAAGTCGCAAACAGAATTAGAGATGTAATAAGCTATGAGTTTTCACAATCTGTAACAGAACCCAGCGTCATTGTGTCTAAAATCCTCCTATATCAAATTGTATCTGTGTTGGCCAACAAGCATCTCCACAGGTCCATGGTGATTCAATAAACTTCAAAGGTTGAGACTAAGCTAAAGCTCTTATACAGGTACCTCAATATTGATTAAAGTTTATAAATTTTGCTTTATTATGTTACAAATTCAGTTCAGTTTTCTGAAATTCCAAATAATCAATCAATTCTAAATCATGATGCAATAATAAGAATTACAGATATCAATGGTACATGAAATTGGCTTACTTCATAAATTTCTAAGTTAAGTATACAACAAACTCACAATGACATATTTTCCAACATCAATTATTCAACACACCACAAATTTAAACAATGAAATCTCAACAGCTATTAATCAAGCCAAAGTTAAGACAACATCCCCAAATTAGACAATGCCATTCATTCTCTTATTTCGTACTATTTGCTTTTACCTCCGGAGGAATTCCCTCCCGGCGCTGCCCCCGCGGCCTTCTTCGCCTGCTTTTCTTGGAGCGCTTTCGCATCCCTGCCATCCATTTTTCAAGAAACAAAATATTTACAAATTGGGTTGTCTCAAAAGAAAATAAAAATAAAAACCCGAAAAGAAATAGAAAAGAAAAAGATAAAAGATTGGAACTTGGACCTCTCTCGGCGCTGTTCTGGGGTCAAGCCATCGTCCTTGTTCTTACCCTTGCCGCCCCGAGCCTGAGCTCTTTCCCGATCTTTCTCTCTCTGGTTGCCGCGTGATCAAATCTCAGAATCAAAGAAAACACCCAATTTTGTTTTTGTTCGTACCAAAATTACTTCCAATAATAATAACGAAACAGAATTGAAGTGTTGAGAAACACGAGATTAAACAGAAATTAAGCTGAAGCAGGAATAACAAAACAAAAAAAAAAAAAAAAAAAAAAAAAAAAAAAAAGATGCCTCATGAAATCAACAATGGAAAGGATATGAAGTCATGATGCGAAGCGCCAAGTCAAGAGCCAAGAAGCGAAGAAGGGCAAGAGGCCGAGAGCAATAGCAAGTCAATTGGGAAAGAGATTGCGGTTCCAAGTAGAAAGGCTTTTGGTCTTTTTTTTGTTTTTTTCTGTTCAAAGTTGCAAGTTGTAGCCAAGTTAGGCTGGCGGCACCAATTCTTTACCCTAAATATGTGATGTACCCAATCATACGGCTCACATGCGGTGTGAGGAGGCACACCACAACCATCCTATGGAAGAGAAATGCTACCGCAGTGACAGCATTTGAGTATTGATACATGTAACATGTCTTGTGACATTATACAGGCATTACGCTTAAAAATGAATTCCTGTTTTTTTGTTTGTTAACATATGGGTATTGCATTGATTTAAATCCCTTATTTTTCCTGCGTGTACTAACGTAAGGAATAAAAAAAAATTAGGATTATGTTGCTTCCATATTAAAATTCGTAATCGAATGCCCTTAAAATCCGAAATAGGATCAGCTAAGGGAATAGTTTATCCGATTTCAATTCCTTGATTTCCCTATTTAAATTCCCCGATTCATGACTTATTCAATTCCTAATATTAACATTCTACCTATACATCGACATTTGAATCATGTGAGCTAAACCCGAAACTCCTATAAATTCCAATGTGATTATAAGAGAATCACATCAATAAAACAAATTAAATAAATAAAAATGATCTGTCACAAGCGTGGTCAGCTAGTTGCAAAGAAACTTCGCCTTGAACATTGATTTGTATCCCCAAACTAATTTTGGCTCACTTAAGGACAAGAGATTCTGCGACTTTATTGACAAAGAAATCTGATTGAGTAGATATATACTACTGTTTTTTTCTTTTTTCTTTTTGTGGTGATTATATCATATGTAATCAACAAATAGGTAGACAAAGTACTAAAAGGTTGAATAGTATGACTATCTCACATGCCCCGAAGAAGATGATCTGTTTTTTCATTATTACTTGGTCTATTTTATCACACATTTATTCTCGCAAACATACAAGACATTGGGTAAATGAATTATTTGTTTGTGTTTCATGGGCACTTGGGGCCTCCTTCCTTGGTCTTCCAGTTGTTGTAGCATGGACATTCTTCCTTGTGTCCATATGTGCCTGATGGAACGCATAGACACTTCTTGCAGCACATGTTGCAGAATTCTATACATGGGTTCTTGTGTGAAGTTGCTGAGCATCGATATGCACATGCCCCTCCGCATTCTGATTAAAACATCAAATACACCAACAAAATATCAAAAATAAAAATCAAGGTATCAACAAGTATCATTTTTTTTTTTTTTTTTTTTTTTTTTTTTTCATTATTATTTAGTAATTATTTAGTAAAAGCAAAAAATAATTTTATTGAGAAAAATGAGGGTTATGCTTGAAATGAAAGTAAAAGTCTGAGAAATGAGTTACATACGTTCAGCGCGAAGTGATCCCTCACCGCCGGTCTGTAAAAAATCGAACCACAAAGAAAACAGAAAATAAGGGAGATTATTCAATGATATTCACAAAATAACAATTACCTTCATGGATATCAAGATGAGGTTGGTTCTAGGATTTGAGTGCAAAATTATAAGAAAGCGATCGATTAGATTTAGCACTTAGTTTTATTTGATGTAAACAGTTTTCAAAATCCCTAACTTTCATGCATAAGTGATTGCTTCCAAAATTCAGTAACTTACTGGACGAACACTTCCATCAGCACGCCCCGGACTCTGAGCCTGCAGTAAAAAAATATATATGATGAGCAATTTTATTTTTAAAGAACAAAGATAGATATACAGCTAGCTGATTAGTATGCTTGAGAGAGAGAGAGAGAGAGAGACAGAGAGAGAGAGAGGTATTACCATGACATCAACGGTACAGATCAAGGCAAAGATGAGAAAGAAAGCAGCGGAAAAACATGAGAGCCTGGCCATGTTTAATTAATTGTAAATTTTCTACCTTCAATCTAGTTTCAGGGAGAATGGAACGTTGTTCAGGAATATATATATATATATATATATATATATGTGTGCATACATATAAGTATATGGGAGGGCACATATATGTTTCTTTAACTATATGGTAATTTCTTCCTCTCTCTCTATATATATATTCTTTCCTTATAGATATATACATGCATATGTATATATAGGATACATGCATTTATAAATAGGAGGTGCGTTTACACTGGATATATATTTCTTTAACTAGATATAGGCAAAATTAAAAACCATACTAAATTGGAGCCAAAGATATGGTAATTTCTTCCTATATATTTAGGATTAGATATGTTCAATGAGATAAAAATTAAAAACCATGCTCAATTGGAGCCAAATGCAGGATCACTTCCTATATACATGTATGTATATATAGGAAAGTGTGCTTGCAAAATTAAAAACCATACTCGATTGGAGCCAAATATATATATATATATATATGGAAATTTATTTCTTTATGCATTTCAAGTAAAGTAAAAGCAAATAAAATAAACATATTTTTATCATTTTCTTACCAGCAATATTAGGAGAGGAGGATATTTTGTTAATATAACAATTAGTTTTGGGCCACTGAACAAAATTGAGTTGGGCCTCCTAAACAAAAGGAGTTGGATTTTAACAAAAGTTTTATTTTCTTTTATATTTTTAATACTTTTACCCTCCGTTTGGATGAAGGAATTGAAAATTGCATAGAATTCTTAAATGACAAAATTTAGATCTCCATAATTTAAATTTATGGTAATTAATAATTTCAATGTTTGAATTTACGTATGCCGAATTTTGTAAATGACAGAAATTATAGTGAAAAAGGAATTCATACTTAATAAAAATTGTGAAATGTGACACTTCATTTGGCAAAAATTAAATTCAGGAATCTTACTCCCCAATTTTCACAATTTTTTCCGCTTATCATTTATTAAGTTCCATGATTTAGTTGCCAAACAATGGAAATATTGATTTCTCCTCCTCAAATTCCGACTTTTAGCTAAATTTCGAGTTATTTTTCTTCTTCCAACGGAGGGTATATTTTTTTTCCCTATATATGTATGGGTCAACTTTAGACATTTTGTACCCCTGATTCGCTGGGCTGTGTGTTGTTGCCCATGCCTATCTGTTGGGTCGTGTAGCATATATTAGGGATGAGCACGGTCTGATTCGGTTAAGCTTTCTTCTTGAATTGAAATCAAAATTGGAATTTACACACGGTTCAGCTTAGTTTTTATAGAAAGTGTGTAGAAGAACCGAACTAAACTGGACCTATGCAGTTCTAGTTCGGTTCGACTCAATTTTCAATTTGGATAGATAAAAATATAAAGATGTGAAGAATAGGGAAATATGATGTATAGAAAAATAGGAAGAATAGAAAAATATGTACAATGGATAAAATAAGAGAGAAAGAGGTGGAAAAGATAAAATAAGAGAGAGATGTAAAAAAAGATAAAATAAGAGAGAAAGATGTAGAAGAGAGAAAAAGGTGAAGAGATAAATAGGAAGAGAAATATAAAAAAATAGGTGGAAAAGAGAGAAATGGAAGCACAACAAGAATGAATATGGTTCATTGAAAATAAAAAGAAATTGGGCAAAAATATCTAGATATTTCTTGGAGTTACTAATGTTATTTAAATATTAATTAGGATTACTAATAATTTTGGATAAAAATAAATATCTAAATTTAACATAACCGATTCGGTTCGGTTTATATATATTTTTCCAAGAGAAGAACCAGGATATTAACTGATCTAAAGCAATTCGGTTCAATTTTTGAGCCTAAGTTGACTTTTTTGGTCAGCACAAATATATTTTCTTTCCGGTTTTTTCCGACTCTATTCATTGGTTCAAATGCCCACCCCTTAGCATATATGCACGGGCATTCTTCCTTGTGTCCATGCGTCCGAAAGTATTCAAAGACATCTTTCGCAGCATTTCTTGCAAAAGAACATGCATGACTTGACTTCTTATTATGTGAAGTTGCTGAACACCCACAATTTGATGGAGACATGTCCAGCAGGCCTGTATGCAACAACAATCACCTCACCGGGGGGGGGGTGGGGTGGGGGGTGGGGGGTAATACAATGAAAGTCTTACCTGACAACTCTCGGCCCTTGATTATTTTACTCGAAATAATCTACGTGGTTGGCCAAAAAGATTTTGAGCTTCTTTGCAAACTTGAGCTCTTCCCACGCTGCCATGGCCAGCATGAGAAGCAGATAACAAGTGAGAATAATGCTTTACCATTGCAACCACAAGGGTCCCCTGCATGCTCCCGAATACCCGTACCCGCCCCCGCCCATGCTTTCACATGCCAAAAACGAACTGTCAACATTAATCTCAAAGACACCAGCTGGGATGGGAACATGGCTTTTGTTTTCATGGGACACAACACAAGAATACCTTTCTTCTCCTCCTTAAAACTAAAATGCAAAAAATGCATATTTGGGTTAGGTTAGTTGACTAATTTAAAATAATTATACTATCGTTAGTTTGACTTTGACTTCTAATTCCATAGTTTATATTAATTTTAAATAATTTATACTATCGTTAGTTTGACTTTGACTTCTAATTGCACGAGTGTGTCAAGGGCTAATTTAATGTAATGCAAGTATCAAATAAAACCAATTCGAATATGACCTTGGATGTGAAAAGGTCAACATTCACTATCAGACCAAATAAACCAATTCGTACATCCTTGTGGGTCTATAGAGGGGTTGCCACCTCTAATAGGATTTTATCAAATCAAGCACATGAATCTAGGATTAAAATGAGGGTCACAACCATAAATTAGATTTTATCAAATCAATCACAAACATAAATCTAGCATCTAATCACCAAGCGTTCGTGAATCTTGACTCCCTAATCAACACCTTGCATCTAGCATGGAGTTTAGATAGGCGCCCAAAATGTGGTGAATGTCAAAATATGTTGGATTTAATTACCATTATTCTCAGAAGTTTTAGAAGAGAAGGGAGATTCGACTCAGGTGCAAGAAAGACAAACACATTCCTAATAATAAAAAAGAATATAGCTTTAACGATTCCTAATCACACTCTTAATATAAGCAAGAAGTTGTGTTGAACTTAAAGGTTATTGCTCTAGGAAGAATTACCAATCATTAATATTTCTTTCATGATGTAAAACTAAAACAAACCTCTCCATCTAGGAAAAAAGGAAAAACCGTCTACAAACTTTCTCTATCAAAAACTTATAGCATAACCCCAAAAAAAACCAAAAAAATTAAGAAGAAACATTTCTTCTCAACATGACTGAATGGTTTGCCATTCATGGGCACTTTGGACCACCTTCTTTGGTCTTCCAGTTGTTGTAGCATGGGCATTCTTCCTTGTGCCCATATGTGCCCGATGGTACACAAAGACATTTGTCGCAGCATTTCTTGCAGAAGAACATGCATGGCTTCTTATGTGAAGTTTCTGAACACCGATACTTGCATGCTGATGGACAATCTATTTTCAAAACAATCAAATTAAATCAAATTCCCAGAAATTATATTTTATGTGTATTGAAATTAAAATATGGGGATGTAAAAAGAAAATTTGCAGTTTTTTATTTGTACCTTCACGACGAAGTGATCCCTCTTTCTCAGCCTGTAAAAAATTATTGAACCAACCATGAATCAGTAAAAAAAAAAAAGCAAAAAAAAAAATTCAAAAATCATCTCTACAAAAAATCACTTGAATATATATATATATATATATATATATATAAGTATATTCATGAGATCTAGAGAAGTACCAGAGCAACATCAATGGCAAAGCTCAAGGCTAGGATGATGAAAAGAGCAGTTGGAACCCATGAGAGTCTGGCCATGTTTCTTGTTTGAACAATTCTGATATTTAGCTCTTCACTCAGAGATTAGTTTGAGTTACGAAGACTTGTATAGTGGTAGGTGTAGTATATATATATATATACTGTGTGAAGCTAGCTACTTCTGCTAAGATATAGGAAGTTTCGTTGCATTGCACGGCATAGATTTTTTTTTCAAAAAAGAATGTATATGTGGTTTAAAATTTATTACCACATATATGGGAGCGGATCCGCTGTCCCCAAATTGGTGTCCTCTCTATAATTTGCTGACACGTGTCAACTAACATAACAAAGAGTTAACTTTTTTATTTGACAATTTTAAAAATTAAAAAAAATAAAAAACTACCCAAATAACCCAATAGCCAGCGAGCGTCGTCTTCCTTGCAAAACCTAGCGAACATCGTCTTCCTTGCAAAACCCAGCAAATGTCGTCTTCCCTGCTAAACCCAGCGAGCATCATCTTCCTTACTAAACCCAGCGAGCGTTGTCTTCCTTACTAAACCCAGCGAGCATCGTCTTCTCTGTGAGAGTCTTCTCCTCTTCTCCAATTGCAGCCTGCGAGCGTCGTCTTCCTTGCAAAACCCAACCATACCCACTCTCCTCCCTCATAATCTCTGCATCTTCTCCACCATCAACTCTCAAACGCTTGCAAAACCCAATTCTCCTCCCTACTAATATAGAAAGAGATGGTTAATGATTGCACAAATAACACAAACCTCTTCCATGATGGCTTCAGAAAGAAAAGTATCCTTGTGCATTTTCGATTCCACAGAGTACTTTAACAATGTGTGATGACTTCCTAGCTACTCAAAAACTCATTTACCTCTAAATGAGTCAAAGTCCCCTTCAACCTGTTCAAAACTTATCTCCTGTTCAAGCTGTTCACACAAGTCTAGGACAACACGCGCATGAAGCACCATATAAAGTAAGCCCTTGCATCCTTCCTGCACATTGCAGGAAAAGTAAGTTAACTTGTGTATGACTTTTAAGATGATTGCCACTCTCACATCACTTAAGCTAAGAGTATTACAATGACATATCAGAGAGTGCCTATTTATATAGCTAGAGCTATAGATTGTCCTCTTTATTAACTAATAAGATCCACAAAATGTACATTTAGAGATCAGACACATTATCTGATCCCAAATTAAAAAAGACTCTTTAGAAAAAGTATGGTCTTAGATTACAGTTAATGGAAAGACCGCTAGTACCTGGAAACTATGAGTATAGTAGTAAGAGAGGTGATAGTATTCTTCATGTATAGTGTTGTTTCAAAAGTGAAGCAATTACCAAGAACACTCCAACTCAGCATGCAATTCTCTACGACAAATAATGTGTGCGGAAACATAATAGTTTTGTTGGTTTTCCAAGGTATTGCAAACATGTTTGAGCTCCCACATTGGAACACTAGAGTTCCTTGGAGGTCTTTATAAGACTTACTCTTTGAAATAGAATAGTTTGTATTGGCTATGAAAGTGGCCCAGTTGAGTGGCTTGTGGATATAACCTTCGGTTAAATGCCTAATTAGTTGGGCTAATGGTTAATTAATATATTTAATTAATCAAAAGATGGGCCTTGAGCCTTGGGGCTCTTGGGCTCTGTGATTTAAATTAAAACCAATTAGTTAAATAATTAATTATTTAATTGAAAAATAGTATAGCAGGGAGGTTTTATTGTTTTTTTTTATAAAAAATTGTCTTTAATAAATAATATAGACGAGTGGCTATGGTCTTTTACATATACACATCCATATATATATATATATATATATATATGTACGTACGTACTTATTTTTCAATAATACAATCGTGTTCTATACACGCGTCTCACCCTTTTAAAAAAGCAAACACACAATAGTCGTATTGTACTTGTACGTACGTAGTTGTAATGTTTTATACACGTATTGTTTTCAAAATTTTCAGTAGGACGGAAAAAAATCGTGTATTATACAAATAATTCTCACATATTATTGAATAAGAATAACATATGTTATTAAAAATACATGAAAATATCATATATTGGAAGATTAATATCTACTTTGGATATGTTGAAACTCGCAAATTAATATTTATAAGGAACAAACTAACGCAACTAGGAGGGTCCTTTTTTATTTTTTATTTTATTTTTGTATTAAAGGGAGTAGCCCCTTTTAAACAAAGGGTATTTAAAACGTATAGCCGGGCGACTATACTACAATTTTTTTATTAAAAACCGTATAGCCAGACGGCTATACTTATTTTTTGACACGTGGCACATTAGCGAAAGAGGGTCATCCTTTTTATTTAAAAAATAGTATCTCCGCACGGCTATACTCCGTGTTTTTAATTTATTTATAAAAAAAAACTTTGTTGACACCTGGCGAGAAATCGCCGGGGTTTCCTATGTTTTTATATTAAAAATAGTATAGCCGAACGGCTGTACTCATTTTTTTAAAATTCTTTTTAACTGCTCTGTTTTATTCTTCAGTAAATCGTTTAGCCGTGCGGCTATACTCGATTTTTGTCTAATTTCTTTTTAAAATAGTTATAGCCGGGAGGTTTTACTGTTTTTTTTTAATTTAAAATAAAAAAAATTGTCTTTAATAAATAGTATAGACGAGCAGGAAGGGTCTTTTACATATACACACACACACATATATATATATATATATGTATGACGTATGTATTTTTCAATAAAACATTCATGTTCTATACACGCGTCTCACCTTTTTAAAAAATCAAACACACAATAGTCGTATTGTACTTGTACGTACGTAGTTGTAATGTTTTATACACGTATTGTTTTCAAAATTGTAAGACGCAAAAAATTCGCGTATTATACAAATAATTCTCACATATTATTGAATAAGGATAACATATGTTATAAAAATTACATGAAAATATCATATAGTGGAAGATTAATATCTACTTTGGATATGTTGAAACTAGCAAATTAATATTTATAAGGGACAAACTAATGCAACTAGGAGGGTCCTTTTTTATTATTTTATTATTTTTGTATTAAAGGGAATAGCCTCTTTTAAACACAATGTATTTAACAGGTATATCCAGGCGGCTATACTACAATTTTTTTTATTAAAAACAGTATAGCCGGACGGCTATACTTATTGTTTGACACGTGGCGCATTAGCGAAAGAGGGTCATCCGTTTTATTAAAAGAAATAGTACAGTCGGCCGGCTATACTCCGTGTTTTAATTTATTTATAATAAAAAAATGTGTTGACATGTGGCAACAAATAGTTGGGGTTTCCTATGTTTTTATATTAAAAATAGTATAGCCGCACGGCTCTACCCTTTTTAAAAAAATTCTTTTTAATTGCTCTGTTTTATTCTTTAGTAAATAGTATAGCCAGGAGATTTTACTCTTTTTTTTATAAAAAAAAATTGTCTTTAATAAATAGTATAGCCGCGAATTTTTTGCGTCTTACTAAAAATTTTGAAAACAATATGTGTATAAAACATTACAAATATGTACATACAAGTACAATACAATTATTGTATGTTTGCTTTTTTAAAAAGGTGAGACGCGTGTATAGAACAATTTTTTTGACATGTGGTGCATTAGCGTAAGAGGGTCATCCTTTTTATTACAAAAAATAGTACAGTCGGACAGCTATACTCCGTGTTTTTAATTTATTTAACAAATAAAACTGTGTTGACACGTGGTGACAAATAGCTGGGGTTTCGTCTGTTTTTATATTTAAAATAGTATAGCCGCACGGCTATAATCGGTTTGGGTCTAATTTCTTTTAAAAATGGTATAGCCGGGAGATTTTACTGTTTTTTTTTTAATATAAAAAAATTGTCTTTAATAGATATTATAGACGAGCAGCTATGGTCTTTTACATATACACACACACACACACACATATATATATATGTACGTACGTATGTATTTTTCAATAATACATTCGTGTTCTATACACGTGTCTCACCTTTTTTAAAATGGAACATACAATAGTCGTTTTGTATTTGTACGTACGTATTTGTAATGTTTTATACACGTATTGTTTTCAAAATTTTCAGTAAGACGCAAAAAATTCACGTATTATACAAAAAATTCTCACATATTATTGAATAATTATAACATATGTTATGAAAATTACATGAAAATATCATATAGTGGAATACTTTGGATATGTTGAAACTAGCAAATTAATATTTATATGGGACAAACTAATGCAACTAGGAGAGTCCTTTTTTATTTTTGTATTACAGGGAATAGCCCCTTTTAAACACAATGTATTTAAAGAGTATAGCCGGGCGGTGATACTATGAATTTTTTTTATTAAAAACAGTATACCCGGACGGCTATACATATTTTTGACACGTGGCGCATTAGGGATCGAGGGTCATCCTTTTTATTAAAAAATAGTACTGCCGCAAGGCTATACGCTGTGTTTTAATTTATTAAAAAATAAAACTGTGTTGACACGTGGCGAAAAATAGCTAGGGTTTTCTCTGTTTTTTATATTAAAAATAGTATAGCCGCGCGGCTGTACTCATTTTTTAAAATTCTTTTAACTACTCTGTTCTATTCTGCAGTAAATAGTATAGCCGTGCGGTTATACCCGATTTTTGTCTAATTTCTTTTAAAAATAGTATAGCCTAGAGGTTTTACTGTTTTTTTTTATATAAAAAAATTAAAAGAATCGTCTTAAATAAATAGTATAGCAAGGAAGACGACGTTCGCTAGGTTTTGCAAGGAAGACGACGCTCGCTGGCTGCTGGGTTATTTGGTCAGTTTTTAATTTTTAAAATTGTCAAATAAATAAGTTAACAAAGTTAACTCCCTGTTATGTTAGTTGGCACGTGTCATCAAATTAGAGAGGGGACATGGAGGGGACAACAATTTGGGGACAGCGGATCCGCTCCCCACATATGTATATACTCAATTGAGGCCAAATCTGATCAAATTAAACGTATATTATATTTGGTAATTATATCCGTAATTAATAAGAAATCTGAACAATGTCTAATTTGATCTTAGCTTTACTGCATATTATTTTATTAATTTTCCGAGGCAATTGTGTGGGTTCTCCAAATATTCGAATGTTGATCAAATCAAAGCAATTTTGTTCACAGTAAAAAAAAAAAAAAAAAAAAAAAAAAAAAAAAAAAAACTATTTCTCTGTTAGAGCATCCACAGTGGGGGGGTGTATGTTAAATATACACATCGAGTCATCGGAATCGTCTCCAATGGAGATATGTAAATGGATGTAAATATACATCATCACCATGGGGATGTAAAATAAAATGTATATTTACATCTTTTGCAGGCGGGACCCACCCGAAAAAAGAGAAGAAAAATGAAGAAAAGTCATCATAAAAGGCTGGGACCCACGGCTACACCTCCGAATTTACACCCCCCCACTGGAGCAAAAAACATATTTACATTCCCCGGAGGTGTAAAGGGGATGTAAAAGTGGCTTTACACTCCCAAATTTACACCCTCCCACTGTGGATGCTCTTACCAGTCACCATTGTTACTCTATCATCTCTGTACCTCTCGTTCATTGAGAGGCTACTAAGCAAAAGATTAGGAAGTGCGTGGGACAAAGCCCTCAAATACGAGCATGCCACTCTCGCTTTGTCTTTCCATCCTTGATAGATCCTAAACTTCAAACATCAATCTCTCTTTTCATCCTATGCAACACTAATCTTGAAAAACTTATCCTAGCATACCCAATGTTTTCTTCTCCAGATTCTCGGAGGCTTGGAACCTTAGACCACTTATGGCATGTTTACTAATTTCGTAATTGGATTAGGAGAAATTGAATTGAGGATGAGTTGAATTGAGGAGTTGGATTGAGGAGAATTAGATTCTGGATTCCCATTTTAGTTGTTTACTAAACTATATAGATTGAGAAGAGTTAGGTTCCGGATTCTTATTGAAGTTGTTTATTAAACTATATGGAATTGGGGTAGGAGTGGTACTAATTACTAAAATGTCCTTGTTGTTAGGTTAAAGTAGATGACACATTTGTAATTTTAAAAAAATGCGTGAGATATAATCGGTAAAAAATATGAATTTCTAATGGGTTAGTTCTTCATAAATTAGAATACCACCTCCCACCCAATAATTGAATTCTTCCTGATGAGAAGACTGAATTGTGAGGCTTATTAGTTTAGCAGTAGTTTGTTGTTCTCCTTTCTTTTGCTAGCTGTTGGTAGCTTTATTTCTCAGTTTGTGGCTGTAGGTAGCCTAGTCCTATGTTTGTATTTCTCTTTCGTTTGGAATGAAAGTACACTTGACCCAAAAAAAAAAAAGAAAAAAAAAAAATCCTTCCTTGAGGTGGAAATCTCAATTTTTGTCCAGATTGGTAAGGAGTTCTACCACAAGTTTACTTTTTACATATACATATATTTTTATACAAATTTATAAATAAATCCAATCCTAGACATGTATTTATAAAAAAAATCCAAGCACTATTTAAACATAGAAACACACCCAAAATCAACTTCAAAGTCAACTTTTTGGGTGTGTTTATAAATGAGTTTTGAGTGTGTGTAATGATGGATTTTGGGTGTGTTTATATGTTTAAATAGTACTTGAGTTTTTTTATAATTTCAATTCCCATTTTGGGTGTTTTAGTGAAATTCTCATATTTTTAACCACAAGGGCAAATTTGCCAAAAGAAAACCCACGTAACTTTAATCCTTTTCAAATTCTATCAGTCTTTTGGCTCTCTCTCTCGCTATTAAAAATCTCTCCCAAAATATAAGTCCTCCTCACCTCAACAACAATAAAAATCTCAGACAAAAAAAAAAAAAAAAAAACTACTACTCATCTCTCTGTCCCTCTCCTCCTCATTGAGAGAGAGTGGCTACTAAGCAAAAGATTAGGAGTGCGCCAGCCGAAGCCCTTAAATATTAGCACGCCACTCTCGCTTTGTCTTTCTATCCTTGATAGATCCTAAACTTCAAACAGCAATCTCTCTTGTCATCATATGCAAAGATAACCCCGAAAAAGTTTCTCCTAGCATTCCCGGTCATCTTCTCCAGATTTTGAGGTAAAACAATGGATTTTCTTTTCATATTTTAATACAATTAATTTTCTCTAGATTTATGCTTCTGCTTCACCTTTACGATTGCTCAGAAGCTGTTATTTACACTTTACAATCCAAATCTTTGTTGGGTTCTCGGAAAAAACCTGAATCTTTATAGGCGTCTCTTACTCTTCCGTAGTGTATGGTTTTGCGGATAGTGGGTTTGGATTGTTCTACTCACTTCTTCGGTTTTTGCCAATTATGTGAAGAGGGTTTCTCTTAAAAGTAAAATGGGTTTTACTTTTTTCATATGATTATTAGCAGTATGTCTGCATTGAGTAGATAAAAAGATTGGGTTTTGCATTCTTATATTGGTGTATGTCTGGTTGTTTGCAGAGTGTCAATATATGGTTCTAGTTAGGTACTGTTTATTGATCTTTACTATTCTTATAATCATCATTGTTGTGTGTTATTATAATTAATCTTATTATTGTTATATTTGGTGTCTTTGGATTGGAATTAGGAATTGATGGGGAAGAAAGTTAAGAAGAAGGCAAGGGCGGCTCCTCAAAAGGACAAGTGGATTGCAGCTGATTCCCCAAAGAAAGCTCCCCAACCAAGCAACCCAAGTGTTAAGAATGGTGATAATGCAGTTTCAGTTCCAAAAGAGAAAAAACCTTGTCCTCATGTTGACAAAGGTGTAGATTTGAATAAATTGTCAGCTAAAATTGGGTCCTCAGAACTTGTTAGGTGCGAAGATTGTAGGGAAGGGGCGCTTGATAGGAGAGGGGGTAAAGGAAAGGGCAAACATGGTAAGAAGAAAGGAAGTGCTTCAGTGGATTCAAAATCTGAGTCAAAAGCCATTTGGGTTTGTTTGGAATGTGCTCATTATTCTTGTGGAGGGGTTGGACTGCCTACAACCCCTCAATGCCATGCACTTCGGCATGCGAGGCAAACTCGTCACCCATTAGTGATCCACTTCGAAAACCCTCAGTTGCGGTGGTGCTTCTCTTGTAGCATGCTTATTAAAATTGATAAGATGGAAGAGAATAGTGAACAAAAAGATGTGTTTTCGGATGTTGTGAAATTAATAAAGGGTCATTCATCGGAGGAGTCATCTGTTAATGTTGAGGATGTGTGGTTTGGTAATGGCAGTGTGACAAGTGACATCAAATCAGCTAACAATATATCAAGTGATTTGGATGGGAGAGGTGGTTATATGGTGAGAGGGTTAGTTAATCTTGGTAACACTTGCTTCTTTAATTCTGTCTTACAGAATATTCTAGCTATAGATAGGCTGCGGGGTTACTTCTTAAATGTTGATGCATTTTCTGGAGCTCTTACTATTTCCTTGAAGAAACTCTTTACTGAAACAAAACCAGAGGCAGGATTTAGGAATGTGATAAACCCAAGAGCGTTTTTTGGGTGTGTCTGTTCCAAGGCTCCCCAGTTTAGGGGTTATCAGCAGCAAGACAGTCATGAATTGCTTCGTTGCTTACTGGATGGCTTGTGCACTGAGGAGTCGAGTATGAGGAAACGTATAAGTTCTTCCCGGGAAAATGGGAATTCATCAAATCCAGGTCCTACTTTTGTGGATGCTGTATTTGGGGGGCAAATATCAAGTACCGTTTCTTGCGTCGAATGTGGCCACTCCTCTACTGTCTATGAGTCATTTTTAGATCTGTCACTGCCAGTTCCAACCAGGAAATGCCCACCTAAGACAGCTCAACCTACCTCTCGAGCAAAGAAGACAAAGTTGCCACCCAAGAGGAGTGGAAAGGTTCGGTCGAAAATTAACAAGGACAAGAGTTCTGCACCATCATCAAGTGTTGCAACCCCATCAACCAGCAGCGAGGTTTCTAGCCAGCCACAATCCGGTTCAACTGACCCAGATGTGGTTGAACAATGGGGTTTAGTTATGAAGAATCTCTCTGCTGTCCAAGAATCTGAAAATGAACAAGTCTTTGAGGATGCAGCAGAGCAAACATCAACTTTGTTGAATGACTGTACGTGGTTGGATTATCTTGATATGGGAAATATGTCAGATGACAATGATTTCGTTTCACAAAACAATGATGCTTCAACTGTTCAAGATTCTGAAAACAAGAATGCACTTAATGATATCTTGCTGCAGCCTGACTCTGAATCTGGTAATCAGGTTTCTACGCTTAGTGGGGAACCAAATGTAAAACCTGACTTTTCTTTAGTGAATCCTTGGGAGGAAGAGCTCCCATTACAGGTTCAGGGTTCTGAAGTTTTGTTGCTTCCATATAAAGAAGAGTGTTCTGTCACTGAGGAAATCATAGGAAGAGAAGATGAGGCCTCTTCATCGGTTGTGGGTGGTGGACAAGATGAATTTGATGGTTTTGGGGACTTATTCAATGAGCCGGAGGTTGCTGCAGGGCCCACTGCAAGGCCCTCTGTTGGTGAGGGAGTAACAGAAACTGGTTTCGTAGCTAGCGAATCTGATCCAGATGAAGTTGATGATAGTGATTCTCCAGTGTCTGTTGAGAGTTGTTTGGCTCATTTCATAAAGCCTGAGCTTCTTGCCAATGAAAATGCTTGGCATTGTGAGAACTGTTCCAGAACTCTTCAACGCCAAAGGTTGGAAGTAAAGAAGCAGGTAAAATCTTCAGCTCAAATTTTCATAAATGGATGTGAGACTAGAGCGGAAAGTGATTCACTGAGTTTAAATATGGGCCTGTGCCCTGCTGATGTCAGAAATCTTAGTAATGGGAATTTGAATAGCAGTACTGGTTGTAACCATTTTGGTGAAGACTTGCATGATGGGAAAATAAATTGCTCATCAATTGAGAATGGTCGATCAGATAAGCTGAATGCTGCTGTTCGTCAACAAGAAGAAGGAAACAACGAGATGAAAGATGCACTTCCAGTGCAATCAAATACTTCAGATTGCAATAACACTTGCAGTCGAGAAAGTTACATTGATCAAGCAATTGAGTCTTGTGCTGACGAGCCTAGAACTGCAGGATGTACCTCTGACAATGTTCCACAGACTTATTCTGGGATATTGGATGGTAAACATGAATCAGAAGAAAGTGAAGACGAGGAAATAAATTCCAAATGTGTGAAGGTGAAGAGGGATGCGACTAAAAGGGTCCTCATTAACAGGACCCCACCTATTTTGACTATTCATCTCAAGCGGTTCAGCCAAGATGCTCGTGGCCGCTTAAGTAAATTGAACGGCCATGTCAGTTTCAGAGAAAAAATTGATCTTAGACCATATATGGATTCCAGGTATATATCTGACTTTTTTTAGAGTTTATTTCAGATTACAAAATGCCAGATCAAAACGTTACTGCTTGTCATGAGTCTGTTTTAGCCAGATCTTGGAATAAGCATTCAAAATGAGAGGATAGCTCTTTTATAACATCTTAAAGAAAAATTTGCATTAGTTTTTCACTTTTCAATACACCAGCTTTTGATCTCTAATCACTTTTACTGGAGGGGTGGTGGGACTTGGTTGGGCTGATCATTAGTCTCCTCACAAACTTTGAAATTTTAATAAATATGATGTATTCAAGGTGCTTGTTGTAGTCTGACGTGCAATTAATGTTAGTGGCTGAGGAAGTATGGGGAGACAAGCAAACTAACAGTTTGAAGTCTCTAGAGTCTGATAAATTTAATTATCACTCTTCCACCTTGGGCTGCACTAAGCAAAGTGAATCTTTGGAACCGTATCTGTGAGAGAGTGCTGTAGTGATTCACTTCATAGGTTAAATACCAAATTACCTCATCTTGTCAGCCAGTTATGTTTTTCTCTTGCCTAAATGTTATCGAACTACACATTCTTGCCTCTTTACTTACCTAACGCACAAAGATCCATTGCTTTTCTATCTCAAGGACTGAACATAGTGGTGAAGTTTTTCACCAAAGGAAGAAGCTATAAGTCTAAGATGCTTGTTCTAAACACCATGTTGAATGCTTGAGGACTTGACACTTGGGTTCCCCAGTTTCTAGCACTTTATACAGTTATTAGATTTTTTCAAGAAGCTTGTATAGAACTCTCAAGAATATTTTACTATTTATGTTTTTTCATGAAAAAAGAAAACTTTTTCATAGATAGAAATCTGAAGAAAGAAATATTACCAAAACATTAATAAATTAGTATGTCTGATTTAAGAAATGGCAAGGGCAAGCATATCGTTTTATCCCCAAGGCAGAAGTTTTGGGGTTGCTATGTTCAGTTCCTTTTGTTTGTGTATATACGTGTTGCAACGTGGTGGTTGTGTCTGTGTCCATAGTTACTTTGTTAGATGATATGAGGAGGCTTGCCTTTCAAGTTTGAAGCTTAGAGCTACTTTGCTAACTTTAATAATTTACGAGCTAAGTTGCAGGATGTTTTAATGTTTACAGAACCTGCCTTCTTTAAAAGAAAGATTTTGAAATTTGAGTTTGCATATATCTACTTTTGTGAGTTATGTCATCAAATTTCCCTTTACAATGTTACCTTGAGTAATAAATGCGATACTGACTGCAATTCCCCATAGCTTTAGCTGATCTTTCAACTACCGATCTCTTTCTGGTCAAGTTTTTTTTTATTCATCTAAAGGTTAAAATCTCTACTTATAGTTGTCCCTTTTGCCTTGTCTGTTAATTCCAGTTTCATGGCAACTTATTCATTGTTTTGTACTTGCTTTAGTCTTAAGGATCCTGCAACTTCTTATTTATTTAATTGATTGTGTGCCATTTCTTATAAAATAAAAACAATGATATATTTATTAGTTTGTACGTATTCATTTAGTGACACTTCTTTAGGAGCTATTTTATTGAGTTATGAATCTATGATGCATGTCCAGAAGTATTGCCCCTGTTAATTTTGATTTCTATTCTTCTCTTTTTCAGAATTTTGTCCTTCAACTAACATAATCACAGACTGTAAGAAATTAAGCAAGAATAATGCTAAAGAGTTTTGGAATCGTTTCAACTAACATAATCACAGACTGTAAGAAATTAAGCAACAATAATGCTAAAGAGTTTTGGAATCATAGTGTTATAACACATTCAACCTTTAGGAACTGTCCCTTTTCATTGGTTTTTGTACTTGTTTAAGCTTTTCTGAATTTATGTTCCCTTGTGTTGTTTTACTCATATAGTTTCTTTGGATGCCATATGAAAATGGAATCAGTCAGTAATTCTGTATATAATTGGAGCATCATAATTTGATTCACATGTTTGAAAGGATTCATTCAGTTATGCAAACTATTACAATTTGCTTCATATGCACTTATTCCCTAAAGCCAATTTATGGGTGAACTTTCATAGTGTTATAACACATTCAACCTTTAGGAACTGTCCCTTTTCATTGGTTTTTGTACTTGTTTAAGCTTTTCTGAATTTATGTTCCCTTGTGTTGTTTTACTCATATAGTTTCTTTGGATGCCATATGAAAATGGAATCAGTCAGTAATTCTGTATATAATTGGAGCATCATAATTTGATTCACATGTTTGAAAGGATTCATTCAGTTATGCAAACTATTACAATTTGCTTCATATGCACTTATTCCCTAAAGCCAATTTATGGGTGAACTTTTTTGTGCAATTATCAGAATGTAGAAGATATCTACAATGCATCTATTAACTCACAATCAAGCCTTATTTTTATGTCCGTAGTTACTTGTGCTTCACATAGTACTTATTTTGTTCCTATTTTGTGTAGTGGTTTGCACAGAATTAATTGGTAGCATACATTACAAGTTACATTTTTCCATTGGAAGTGCATTAACTTTTTGGCTATGATGTCCTCTTGAGCTTTACAGGTCCACAGATGGAGAGAAGTATGAATACCGCCTAATTGGGGTTGTGGAGCATTCTGGGACGATGAGAGGGGGCCACTATGTTGCATATGTGAGAGGGGGTGAAAGGAGCAGAGGAAAAGCTGAGAAAGAAAATAATGGTCATGTGTGGTATTATGCTAGTGATGCACATGTGCGTCAAGTTTCCCTAGATGAGGTTCTTCACTGTGAGGCCTATATCTTATTCTATGAAAAAAGTTGAGGTTGTTCTACCTTCAACTTGATGTCTTTAAAGTTTGAGTTCAGGGCCTTCAGACTAGCTGAGCTTCCCCAATGTGTGTGTGTGTGTGTGAGAGAGAGAGAGAGAGAGAGAGAGAGAGAGAGACAGAGAGACAGAGACAGAGACAGAGACATAGAGAGACAGAGACATAGAGAGACAGGAAAACCAGAGTTGAGTGTACAACTCCAATTACCATGTGTTTTGATACCCCATTCTTTCAAGATGTAATGATCTTTTAGATGTATACTGTTAGTTATAGCATCAGAAAACGGGGTTTTATTTTTATAGTCCCATCACCCCAGGGACCATGGCTGCATCAATTACTGAAGCTTTTTAAGTTACCGTTTTTTATTTATTAAGAATCCCTTTTAGGCAAGAAGCATTGCATATTAAATGATCCAGGCTTCATTGCGAGCACGACTTGTTTCGGCTCCAGAGAGGTTGGTGCATGCGTTATATTATGTACTAGAATCTGGTTGACAATATTGTCGGCCTGCAATTTTCCTCATGCAAGTGCCTTTCGACAAGGGAGATGTATTTACAGTTTAAGTTTCACTTTCAATCTCAATGACGACCTTTTATGGATTTCTTTGTTGCAGTTGGGCCTTTGGCCCAAACATGTTCTCTTATTAGAGACGCCTTTCCACCGGGACTGAGTCCATTGCAAGCACTTCTGCTCATAATGCTTTTTCTATAATTGCTTCTTTCAAAGAACGCTGAAAAAGCACTTAGAAGTGATTCTTAAAAAAGAGGAGGCTTCTCTACAAGTGCTAGGGTAAAGGCAATGTACATGGAGCAGAAAAATTGAAACGAAGAGAATTGTTCTCGAAAATAATTTTTCTTTAACTCATTGTCTATCGCTATAGTTTCCTCGAATCTAGCAAAACTGGCCACTAATTGGAATGACTTTCCTTCGAAAGAGAATAAGAATACTCTACAAATTCAACTAAACTCCTTGTCTATTTATTTTGGAAAAGAAACAGAAAGCTTTTTTTCCTTACCTAAATAGTCACTTTTCCAATAAACATAAATGAATTAAAGATTTTGTCACAGTAATAATGGAACTCACATCTACCACACAAATAAAAGCGGTAGAAGCTATATATGCCACATCAACATTTAACAGACATATTAAAGGAACAAAATGACCTAGAGTTTACGAAGTTTAAATACCTATTTTTATATGATTTTACAAGTTGAGGCACCAATTTGAAATGATCTAGTTAACTCGAAGATTCATTCAATTATTTATTTTTCCACAGGAGAAAGCATTTCATTCAATGGATTGGAAGTATAAAAGGAAAAAGAAAAGCACCAGGGCCAAAAGCAGAGAAACATCTTAAAAAAAACAAAAACAAAAAAAAACTCTCTCGCTCTTTGTCTGGACAGTGACTGCTCTCTCTCCTCCTTTACCATCTAGTTAGCAGCCTATATCTCTGGCCACCCTATAAGGCCATAACCTTTCTCCATGGCATCACTCTCACTCTCAAAGCAGCTAAGCTCTCTGTTCCTAGTAATATCCATGGTGGGTATGCTTGGAACTTTCATCAATATTGTGGGGGTAGATGGAGCAACTTCTTCTTCTTCTTCTTCTTCTTCTTCTTCAACTTGGTGTGTGGCAAGAAGTGATGCTACCACCCAAGCCCTTCAGACAGCCTTAGACTATGCATGCGGGGCTGGTGCTGACTGTTCCCCATTACAATCCACTGGCCTCTGTTATCTTCCAAACACAATCCAAGCTCATGCCTCTTATGCCTTCAACAGTTATTATCAGCGCAAGGCTATGGCTCCTGGCTCTTGTGACTTCTCCGGCACTTCCACCATTGCTCAAACCGATCCCAGTATGTCATTTTTCTTTTTCTTTTTTTGGTAACAATTTTATCTTTTATTTATTTATTTTCAAAGAAAATGAACCCATATTTTTAGGTATTGATTTGTTTATTGTTGTTATTTTCTTTGTGTAGGTTATGGATCTTGTGTGTACCCATCTTCTGCAAGGTATGCTGCCCTGCCCTTTCTTTTCAATTTCTTGTAAACAAAAAATTAATTTCTCAAAGACTAATTAAGTATTTAGGGTACACGAGTTTCTTCGTGTTTACGCAATTGGGTCTTTCTCTTTTTTCTTCTTTAGTGTTTTTGAGAAACAAAATTACTAGGGAGTTGTTTGATATGATGAATATTGAAGGAGATAATGAGTTGCTGTAAGGAATCCTCTTCCAAAAGAGAGGGAACCAAAAAAAAACACAAAACAAAACAAAGAGAGATTTGTGCCTCTCTGGTGAAGCTTCTTATGGATGTATGACGCGTGTCCTTCTGCATGGAATGCTTTGTGATGGCATCTTAAATCTGACCGTCCAGTACTCCTTGATTTGTTTACATCCGTCAAATCAAAATCCCCTCTCTCTCTCTCTCTCTTTCTTCGAAGTATTGGGTTGCTCACTGGTATTTTGGACTACATACTGGATTTCTTAAAATTATTGTCTGAGTACATGCTTGACCTGGAGTTTGAACTACGTATTTGGTTCTGTAACTCACATTTCACCTTAGTTTCCGACCGTTGGATTTGTCGTTAGTACAAATGAAACCAATGGTCAAGATCATACTTGGTTCGCCACCTTTTTCATGGGCAGAGTGACTGACAGTGACAACTATCATGCACTATTCTGATGATTTCTGAGTCTATCTCATGCTGTTGTTGCCAGACCAAGCTCTGAAACTTCTGGGCCCTGGTTTGATTTGCATGAACATTAAAATATCATTTTAAATAGCGGAAGGACCAATTCTTTTTCTTTTTACTTTTTTTGTTGGGTCAGAATTTCCTTTGGTACATATGAAAAGGATCAGTTCATTGTGGAATGTTCCACAAATATTCTAGTTTATGAAAATAATGATTCACTTTAAAAATTCCTCGTGCTACTTTTAATACATTTATTGATTAAAGTATCTCAGTATTCATAATTTTTCGGATGCCTTGCTTAAGCAATACATAATAAGGACAGTCCTCCTACAGCCTTCTTCTCATTTACCCTCCTAATTTTGAAGGTGGGCCCAACCTCAATTAACGGTCAAAAATTCAAACATGTGGGGCAACATTTCAATGTTCTCATTCTGTTCTAGCAGAGCCAAGTTGTGGCCATTTTGATTCCCAGAGAAGTGCTCTTTTGTTCTGGCCAGGGTATTTCAGGCATGGTCTCAAAAGTGTGGGTGTCCTAGCTAGTGGTCCAGATAGCAATATGCACTTTTGCCCTTTTTCTATTTGTGCAGCTAATTGGGAAGGTTTAGCCGAATTTAAGGTCTTTTGCTTGACGCTAAAGTAGACTTAATTTGCAAAGGATCACTAGCGTAGTGGTTTGAAGTAATTATTCCCTCAGGCAAGGTTCTGAGTTCGAGTCTTAGTATTTATGTAGTGTGTGTGAGTTTAGTATATTATTGCCCATCTCTCAATAGGAAAGGTGCTAAAAAAGTGAACTTAATTTAAAATGAACCAATTCACTAGAGCATATAGTCATTTGATCACATTCTAGGTTATTATTCAAATCTGCGTTTTTCCCACAAATCACACTCATCCAACGCCAATTAATGTAGTGGTAAAGCTCACCATGAATCAAGGGTTGATGTTCACGTTAGAGAGAGATGTCATTGATAACTCAATTCTCAATAAAAGCAGGTTTTTGAGTATGGGGTGTGGGTTTTGGGCTCAACTTAGTACTGCATCTTTTATTGCTTTTTCTTTGGTGGAAAAAGTAGTGCTTTATCCGGTGTTCGTATAAATGAATTTGAAGGACTAACAGCTGTGTTATGCAAATTTACAGCACGGCTGGAGGGACAACTACGCCAACCACGCCACCAGCTACAGGCATTTTCGGTGCACCAACAACGCCTACGACACCAACATTTGGCGGGGGTAGCGTTACTGGATTCACTCCAATGACCCCGACGATCCCTGAGTCTGACGACAACTCAAAAGCATCCCTTGAGTCCATGATCCCAACAATCTTGATGCATGTGTCCTTCATGTTTGTTCTTTCATTTACCCTAAACTAAGCCCATGCGTCTCGTTTATTTATTTATATAATTTTATAGTTATAGCAGGAGTAGCATTGCCCTACGTGGAAAAGAGGTTATAGATTTTTTGTTAGAAGTTGGAACCTTCTTTGTCCACTTCCATCTAGCTAAGCCTCTCAATTAATATTGTGCCGAACTTTGTAGCTCTCACAAATTCTATTCAATAATAGTTCAATTTAATTGCTGCAAGTTTCTTTTCTCAGTCTACTAAGCGGTTTCATTTCTTACATTTAAATTCTACTATCTATTTATCAAATGAATTTTTTTTTCTTTACCTTGAAAGTCTCTCATAGAGATATAAAACACTATAAGGGACATGGCACATGGAATTCCATTGGTAGAAGAAGGGTAAATCCTAGGTTTTTCGGATCTTTAGAAAGGTACTAGAATCAACGACACCAACAAATGTGAGGCAATAGATCTTTAGAAATCGTAGAGTTAATCTAGATCTGATCTTCAGAAGTCATAGATTTAATCTAGATCATCACACTCTAATCTCGTTCAAGCCAAAGTTCATATGCCGGATTTGATACAGAAGCACCATCAATCTGTTGGCGAGTCCTTACTTAGTTAGGATTTTGGTTCCTTATTATGTTATGATTTTTGGTTACTTATCAATTATTTTTAGTCCTATTGCAATAGAGATTTATTTCTTATTATAATTTAGATATATTTCATATTTTATTTAGGGTTAACACATCTTTATACTTATATAAATACCTCTAAACTCACCCACGGCTTATTTTATGATCAGAAAGCTCGAGTCTCAACCTTAACTTTTTGTTATAACTAAGTATATGTGCCAAATACATGAGTATATGGACATGAAAAATATGAATGTATCATTTATAATAGTTGCTAGTTTGTCAGGCAAAACAAATTACCAGTAGAACGCCAAATTTGTGATGAATCATTAGTCACGAGATAGACCCTAGATCATAATAATATTGCATTGCGTAGATTGTGAGTTTGCTCAATTTTTTAACCTTGGAAATTAAGCAAAAAGATGTTCTCTAATTTCAGCCGCCAGAATTGTACTTCCAAATTCTAATCCTTAAAATGGATGCAGAACTTGGAATGTTACCTGGAAATTTTTTTAGTCCAATTCTACGTGTAAACTCACCCACGTGTTTTACATCCATCATTAGTGCCGGTGAGGGAAGCTCGAATTTGGTATAACCAATGCTCAGTTTCCTTCAAAACTCTATAACCTATACTTCATGAACAAAATGAAGTATAGGTTGGACAAATTAAGAATCAAGACCACATAAAAATCCGGCACTTTTATTAATAGAAATTTTCAGCATTACAAATTGAAAGTTAACACAAGAGCTAACTTCGCCTGACATCAAGTTGAAGACTTGAGGGCTCACAACTAGAGATGTGCAGAACTGTTGTAAATGAGTTAAGGCGCACAAGTTGGAAACTGTTGATGCATACAAAAATGTGTACAAGAATCTATCAGTCGGTATAATATTATCAGAGACTCAGAGTTCACTGCTGTGGTGAATTTAGTACCATTTATCCAATAATTTCCTTCATTTTCCTGCTCTCAATTGTTTTGTGTAACGTTTGCCGTAACTGGACAGCTATCAGGCTGCCTTACAATAAAAATTTGATCTCCAGCATATCCGTAGAAGTCCTGATTTCGGTGCCAGGACCATAAAGCATGAGTCTCATTTTTCACCTGCAGGGCAAAAAAGAATGCTGCTTATCACCTTATTGGTGTGATTTTATGCAAACCGTGTTGGTCCGGTATATTGATACGCATACAGAATTTTGTCAGTGAGTCTTCAAGTACTTTCATTCTCAACAGCCCTGATGGAGGCCTTAGCAGTTTATGGCGTCACATTTACAGTTGAACATAAACGTACTACACAAGGCATTGGCTATACATCACTGATCATGTTTATAATTTCTAAGTTTTATTGTATGTTTTCCATATATGTGAAAGTGAATGCTCATAACAACGAAAACTGAATGCAATTGTTAAAGAAAGACATTAGCAAATCATTTTTATCAAATTTTCATTTGGGTTTAAAATTTCAGTCCACTGTATATAAAAAGTTTATCTGTACTCTCAAGAGTTTGTGTTTTCAACTTTTCATAGCAGAGAGAAAAGGGAAGTACCTCTAGAATCCCATGACCAAAGCTACTTTCTCGATATGCACTATATTCAGGCTGCCGGTCCCAACAGAACTTTCCTGCTGCGGGGCCTGATGTGAAATTAAATGCACAAAAGCCACCCATAAATTTGTCTGGAGTTGTACACGGTTCTGGACAGTTTCCGGGTTCATCAGCATGTGCAATTGCCATCTTCTCTCGGTTACCACCATCACCAACTGTTATATATACAGGACCACAGGGATCCAAAGTGTAGTTATACACTCGATTTGACCTCTCGTAGGCGTGAACCTGTTGATTGTTTTAAAACTGTCACAACTCTCAACTCAAATATACAAGGATTTCTGCCAAAAGCCTGACAAACTATGCGGCACATAAAAATAAAATTGCAATACAGTGCTCTTTAGAACATAATCTCAAACCACACCAATTCTGTACACAGTATGAAGCATTTCTATTATTGAGCCCCATGCCCTATTGGCCTACTAGATTTTGTTTTCGGTTCCAAAGCTGGTGTGGTTAAGCAAGGACATTGATTTAAGACATATGTAATCTGGAAATTATAAAAAGTACGAAAGATATTTGGTTAGCATGGGCACAGCACTCAGCTTACTTAGCTTACAGAGTTACTAAGGGTAAGGAAATGTTAATAGAACTTCAGGGTATCACCCCACCTCTAAAAGAATCTGTAAGATTTGGTTTAGCAATGTTCCCTGAATGATTATCAAAGTCACACCGATGTCCAGAAACTTTGTTTGAGATTCATCTCGAGATTAAGATTGGTGAACTGTCTGATCAGATAAAGAGGGTAGTTGTAAGACAGTTGCAATTTGAAAAACTCCTGCTGAAATGATTTTACTCAGAGAAAACTGAAGATGTGAATTTCTTCAAGTTTGAAGAACTGCAGTAGAAAGGTATACCACTAAGAATGCCATGATTGTATTAAGATTTTGGGAACTTGAAAAGGTTTCTTTAACTAAATAATGAAATCCTAGAATCAAACAGATTAACTAAGGTAAAGGGCTGCCTAACAGAAATCCTAGAAGCTTGCACAGAGGAGATTATATTGTTCATAGATACATATAACAATACATAATGCACTTACATGGCCATTGAAGACGATATCAACACCATACTTATAAAGTATGTCTTCCATCTCGACTCTCATACACTCCGCTTCTCTGTAATGTGCCACGTAGGTGCTGTACCATGGTGGGTGCCATGTAGCTACCAACCAAGGAGTCACATTTCTGTCAAAATTAGCCAGATCTTTCTCCAACCACACGTACTGATCGGCTGTAAGAGAAAAAACTTGTAATCTCAGTATGGCCTAACTTGTAACTAAGTGGAAGAAGTAAAAATGCTCTTCTTAGGAAAGCAAATGAAATAGCAGTGTCAATCTGAACTAACCTGATTTGTTATAGGCTGTGTAGGCACCAAGCATTATGAAGTGAATTCCCCCGGCATTAAAAGAATAGAATAATGTAGATGATGATCCACTCTCTTCTGAGGGGAACGCAAATCGCGAACTATAAGAAACAAATGTTTGATTTCCAGCCTGTTGTTCAATGTCATGGTCTCCTTCTATCACCATTATTGGAACTTTGGACACTAGAGGCTGCATATACCTAATAACAAACAGACCATAAATTTCCCTTTAGGTAAAGTTGTACAAAAATTAACCAGGTGCTTCTCCACAAAAATTAGCAGAGAGAAGTTAAATCTCACCTTCCCCAGTAATCCCAACGAGGCTGATATGTTTCCTGAATGGGAGTATGTGGAAATGAGCAAGAGTAACAATCAGACCCAGTTCCATTTGTGAGATACAAGTCAGCATAACTAACATCCCCAACCAATAATAGAAGATCGGGTCGGTTAGCCAACAAGTGATCAACTGTTGATGTAGTATTGTATGTAAGACCCAGGTCCCCCACCACAGCTACTCTGCTGGGGTAACTCTTGGGCCCGGATACCGGCATAGTCTTGAAATATGACACTCTACTCATTGCTGGAATAGAAGGATCGCCACATTGATACTGATATAAGGTGTTGGGTATCAATCCTGCAAAAAGACATTGGAACTGAGAGACTTGCAAACAAAATCATAATTAGGTAAGTCCTAGCAAACACATATAGAATGGGATGAAGCAGATCAACTTTCAATTTCTCTGTTCTTACATTGCATAAACATTATGAAATCAACAATGGTTACTCTATTGAGTGTCAATGAGGAGCTCTTAAAACTCATTCCATCATTTTGAGGATACAAAATATTCATGAAGGTTTAAAAGGGATTCAACACTAAAATGATCATATACCTGCGAGACGAACATGGTGTATAATCCCAGAAGTGTAGTTTTTGAGGCCTTCAAACTGATACAGCTGATTGTAAACAAGGGAATTATTCCCGGTTGATCTGTTGGTCATAGGAAATCCATATCTTCCATATACAACAACACCTGAAACAGTTTTCGGATCCAATGGTTCTATATTGTCCCCAATTTGAAACTCCCCTGGAAATTCAATCATGAGAAAGAGAGTCTTTAGTTCATACAACTTTATAACTCAATATTTTCTATTTTGTAACAGTCCCATTCTCAAGTCCAAAACCAAAAAAGGTAACTTTCCTCATCCTCAGTCCAAAAGAAGTAACATTTCCATCCAATAAAATTGGCCTCATTCAATTGAGTTGTGACAGTAATTATGATAACTCAATTCCTGGTTTCAGTGAAATCAAACATCCAATAATGACCCAAATAGGAAACAGGTAGGTAAATCTTGAACAAAAATGATTAAAAATATATCCTTTTTTTTTCTTCTTCTTTGACCAAGAAATCAGATATCATTGAACTAAAACAATTTCATTTTAAGCTTACATGTGAAAAGACAACCAAATATAAAACTCACTGTTGGATTTCAAAAACTCAATCAGCATAAAACTTGGAAGTGTTAATATGCAAAAGAGAATAAAACGCAACGGAAGCTCAAGTATTGGAGCTTCAATGAGAAAGAGAGAGAGACCTGTGATCCAAGATATCCAAACAGAGTCATGGGTTCCAGAGAGAGAGACAGAGATTTGTTCAGGCTTGAAACCTTTAACGATTCTTTTAACTCGAGGATCAGTTTCAGGCAAGTCAACTGCATTTCCTCGAAAGCTCTTGTCAAGAGGAACAGTGACAGGCTTGAAGGGTCCATCAAGGGTAGTCGGAATTCCTTCATGAACGAATGCCAAGCTCAGTGTGAGCAGAATAAACAGTGCAACTGTGGGCAACGTGAACAAACCCATTTATTTGTTCAATAAACAGAAACCAGTAAAATATTTTGGATGGGTTTAGAAGAGAGGGGGACAAAGGATTTAAAAGTGAAAGAAAAAGTAGAAGAAAGGACAACCAATTTGGAGGCTAAAAAGTGCACGAGGTGACTTAACTTTTCAATGTATGACAAATACTATCAACGCTTACATATGCCGAACTTTCAAGTTTAACACTTGAATAACATATATTGAGTGGCATGAAAGCACATGTGATCATTGAGCCCAACACGTGAAGACTTGCTTAGATACCATAAAAAAAATTGAGGTTCCACTTCAAAACCCAAACTAGGTCTCTTACTTTTCAATATGTCACAAATACTCTCGACAAAAACCAGATGTATATATATAACGTAAAAAAAATATATACAGCAAAAATGTGCAGTTGTTTATGTTTGTTTCATTGATATTGTGTTTATATTCAAACCCGTGCCACTCAAAACATGAAAAGATGTTGTTTTGACCTTAAATATGATGAGTTTGTTTTAGTAAATAGTCTGCTGCTGTCAGTTATTTAACAAACTGTTTCGTTTTAAGAACAGGGAGGGCATGAGAGAAGCATAGTAGAGAACAGACGTGAGGCTACAGATCAGGAACGCTAGGTTTGTTTTTTATAAACTTTTTTACTTTTGTTTTTTGTTCTTCAAAGATGATTGGATTATTGAAAAGAGAATAAGTAAAAAATAGAATATACATGATAATATTCATTAATTAACACGGTATGACATATCAACTGTCACATAATATAGTCAGCTAATGTGGTCAATGTTGTGTGTCTAAATAGCATTTCTGTTATTATTTAGCCCAACCTTTTCTCTAATTATTATTTTCCAACTAATATGGCATGTGATGACGCAAGTAACACCATTGCATTAGAAGGATCCTTTATTTTAGTGGCAAGTTTTTTTTTTTTTTTTTTTTCTTTTTTGGGGGCTAAAGTTAAATTTGCAGCAATAGCTACATTTGATATGACGACAATCCACCAATAATATTTTAGATATTTGTGAAAATTATACAACGAACCAATGAAGGAAAATGAAAATTTGCTTTTGTCCTTGACGCTTTGGACAAATCCATTTAAATTTCTTTTAGTTATTTATTTATTTTTCTCAATCCATTTTAGCTTCTCGCTGTCCTAAAATCCAGGAAACTACAATATAGGAAAAAAGAAAAAGAAAAAGGGGAAGATTACAAAATCATTTATACTCAAAGAAGAAACCCTTGCGCTGCGTGGGCGGATCAATTGGGAGATCTGGAAACGCTGAAGGAAAATCTTTCCGGGAAAATATTATCCAGTTGATCCAAACACGCCATAACCCACACATTCTTCTATTGAAGCGAGAAGCGTAGAGGGAAGAAGATAGAGAAAGATGAATATATTCAGATTAGCAGGGGATATGACCCATTTGGCTAGCGTTCTGGTTTTGCTCCTCAAGATCCACACTATCAAATCCTGTGCCGGTTAGTATCCTCTTTCTCTTTTCGCTTCTGTTCATTTAGCTCCCACTTGGCCGTATTTTGTTAATTTTTTCTTTCTGGGGTTTGTTTGGTTGCTGAGAAATGGCGGAAAACAAGGAAAGATTTAAAACATTTCTTTTTGTTTTCGGTATTTTAGATTATATGAATGAGCTCCCTTTATTCTAGAGAATGTGTTTACTTCATTAAGCTAAAAATTATGAGATTCGGGGTTTAACTTTTTGCATAATTGGCGACATTTTTCTCGGGAATTAAATGGAGTTTTAGAATGGGTGATAATGAAGGTTTTGGTTAAGATAGGAGTGTAGAAATGATTGAGTTATGAAATTTACATAGGGTGTTGTACTTCAAGTTTTGTTATGTGCACGAAATATAGTGGTGTGAGTTTAATGGTTTTGGTTGAAATATGGGTAGTTTTCTATGGTGGTGAGTGTCTTTTATGGTTTATTCATATGGGATTCCATATAAGCATGCTTATTTGGCAATGTCATGACCTCCTTTTCAATAAAAGACATCTGGGTTGTAGTTTTTACTTGGTAGTTTACTTTTCATCTTTGAAATAAATGGAGGTGATGTAGAGATGTATGGATGGGGCAAAAGTGTTTGTCAATTTCCTTTGACTGATTGCTATATGTTCCGGAGGAGGGAAAGGGCACTAGTGGAAAGGCCAGATGGTCTTCTATGAGTGAATGATAATAGGATCCCAAGAGAAATAATGAGGTGGGTTTCTAGAGTCATAACTAGTAGTTAGTAAATTGTGCCCATTAAGCGCACCCATACCATGTTAATAAACTATTTCAGGACCCATCCCTTTTTTATTTATTTATTTATTTTTTATAGTGAAAGAGTTTACTGAAAAAAAGCATGGGAGTGTACCCAAGTTCATAAGCTATATACAGAAGTTAAATGGGTCTTCATTGCCCATTCACACAGACACTTCGACAGTGGAGCTTCTGTTTCCATCAAAGAATGTCCCATCCCTTCAAATACACTTCTATTTCCCTTCATTCATACAAGCCAAATGGTTCCCAAGGGAGCGATACTGAAAATTAGTTGATTTTCTTATCACAAATATGCCACATCATCCTGTAAGTAAAGCTACAATTGACACTGGAAGCACCAAATAGACCTGACGTAGGGAAAAAAAGTGCCCTCAAAATTCCCAATCTATCATACAATTGAGCTAGAGATGATTTATTAACTCTTATGGCCTTGTGTCTTTAGTGGCTTTCCCTCATATATTATGTTTTAACTTTCATTTTTATTGTTTTTCTTGTATACTTGCATACATGTGTTAGCTTGCCCTTTGTGCTCGCGAGTAAACTTTTGCATACAGAAAAAAAAGGTGATAAACTATGCAACTGATGCATATCAAAGAGGTGGCCCTGTGGTTGACATTTGTGGACTATATTATTTAGTCTGAAAGACAAATTGTAAGATTATAAAGAGCTTCTTCACAACTAGTGTTCTGTATGAGTTTGGACATGATAGATTTTATTATATAAATTTAGTCATATTAGGAGTTGAACAAGCAAATTGGGGTGATGGAATGGAGGTATGTGTTTCTGCTCTTCTTTATCTTCGGCAGATTCAATAGGGAGAGAAAGGGTCAAAGCCCAAGGTGTAAGGCTTATAAGTGGTGATTTTCTGTAAATGAAGAGAATGGATTGTATGTGACGTATCATGAGATCCTCGAAGCCTACCAAGTTGGAAAATGATTCTTTTAGAAGAGATTATTGATGACACATTTGACTGTATCCAATACATCATTCACGAAAAGACAATTTATGTAATATATTTAAAATGATTGATGATTAGATAAGCCGAAAGGACAAAATCAATACAACTAGATTATGTTTTTATCATCTGTATCTTGTTTATATGATTACTTTTTAGTAGCTTTTGATATCTTTGACATTGCAAAGCAGAAAAACAAAAAACAAATTGATGTTTGTTGTAGATTAAGATTTTCATAATCATACTTTTGCAAGAATCTGCAACTGATCATGACAGTTTGAATTAAATGCAATGACTCTGTGGTTTGTTATTTTAATTTGAAGATAAGATAGTATTAAAACTGTAATATTATGTTTTTTGTTATCAATGTAGTATGTCTTATCTTATGCATTTTCACTACTATCCACTTTATACTTTATTGGATTTTATTGTATTTGATGCCTGTTGGAAACTCGAATTGTCTCGTTCTGACTAATAAAGTTTTTCTTCCCAGTTTATGCAGGTGTTTCCTTGAAGACTCAAGAACTCTATGCTCTTGTTTTTGCAACCCGCTATTTGGATATCTTTTTCAACTTCGTCTCGTTTTATAATACCATAATGAAGTTAATATTTTTGGGTAGCTCTTTCTCAATTGTTTGGTACATACGGCGCCACAGGATTGTTCGGAGATCATATGATAAGGACCAAGACACATTTCGCCATTTATTTCTCCTGCTCCCCTGCCTGCTTTTGGCTCTGGTTATAAATGAGAGGTTCACTTTTAAAGAGGTATCTATTTAATTCCATTTTGTTATTTTTGGATAATTTGATGATATCCTTGTATCTTCAACTTTTTGTGGCTTTTATGTTTTTCATGTCTTACTAGAACTATATGAACACAATTTTACAGTAAATCATCCTTTGGAAATATGACAGAGCATGTACTGTGCTTTTCACATTGCTCACATTCTTGTGTGATTTTACAAAATTGATTGAGCAGGTGCTGTGGACATTTTCTTTATATTTGGAAGCAGTCGCCATACTTCCTCAGCTGGTGCTGTTGCAAAGGACTAGAAATATTGACAACTTAACAGGGCAATATGTTTTCCTCCTTGGGTAATAAACTAACTTTACCTTGCATTTGGTAGTTAACATATACTATTGTTTCCATATGCTTAGAATCTATAAATGTGCAATTAGATACATTATACATTTCAATTCTATCACAACGCTTTGTTGTGTTCTCGTGCTTATCATGGTTTCCTGCAGTATAATATTTTATGTGTATGTCTGTTTGAGATGAATCAAGGACATAATAGCACATAAAATCAAAGAAACTGAAGAGTAAATTTATGAAATTGTTGGTGAACCTGATGTTTGATCACATTACTTTGCCTCTAAATAATTTGTTCTTTAATCTTATATGAAAAAAGTATGATGTCAACAGTGGGACTAGCATTAAGGCATTAACAAAATTCTCAACAAACAAGGTTCATTTTGACCTTGAACTTTATAATCTGAAATAGATGATCTTGAACACAGCTATTATCTTGCATAGAATTAAGTTTTATAGTACTTGTCATTATCAATACTGTAAGAGCCTACAGAAGGACGATTTTCAAAATATGCAGACCAAAATTTAGTTTGGTAAAATTGCCGTAAGCCAAGTTTGAATGAAGATGAAAAAAGTTATATTTCTGGGTTTTTTTTTTCCGAAATATAAAACCAATCTGCACAACAAATTGGAGTCTCATTGGTTGAGCATTCTTCTTCTCCATCAGTGCCAACACTTTGAACCTTTTCACCTTGAAGTCAGAAGACTCGACCACATAGGCTGGAAAGTGGGCTGATGAGCAACCAAGCAGTTAAATAATAAGAAACTGTAGATTATACACATTTGAGTGCCATGAATGATCACCGTTTGCCATGGGAATCTTAAAGTGAATTGTGTATCGTGTTCAATCTAAAAGAGCATTGGGGCTAGTTTACATGGTCTTGCTTGTGGTGCAGGAGTTAGTTCATGCTAGTGATTTTTGTCTAGATTGTACTTTTATTATGATGCTTTCTTGATGGGTATGTCAGAAAGAATGGAAAAAGAGAATCTAGTCTTAAAGACATGTCATGAGTTTTCTGATGTACGCTAGTGCCTCTGTAGTCTGTACAAATTTGCTACTCTTCTGGAGTATCTGCAATTCTGCTAATCTTCTGAACAAGTCAGGTTGTGATATCGTTTAGTTAGAGCAAAAGAAGTATAGCCTTTTTCAGGTGGATGATTAAGATCTTTACCATGGGTTGAGCATTGAATTTAATGCACTCTGCGAAAAGATAAATTTTATAGGTAGCATGACAGTCCTAGATCTCGTGTACTGCACATCCAACAGTAGATGCAAGTGCAAAGTGCTAGTGCACCCACACATTTATGAGTTACTTATTTCTTCTCTTTTTTTGTTTTCATAGAAGACCATATTTCATGTACATGCTTCTGGATTTTATGAAGGTTTCTTCTGAAACAGTAGGAGTATTTGTGATTATGATCAGAGTTTTACTATTTTTCTTCTGTTAAGTCTATGAATTCATTTTCATTCATGTCTAAATCCTATATGTAGGTTGAAACTTCTGGCAGAAGTTTGTCTTAATATCTTAATTTGATTCTCTTGTTGCAGTGCATATCGAGCATTATACATATTGAACTGGATCTACCGCTACTTTACTGAGGAACACTATGTCCATTGGATCAGTATGACTCTCTCTCTCTCTCTCTCTCTCTCTCTCTCTCTCTCTCTCTCTCCCCTGTGCATGTCATTCATGTGTCTACTATATAGTGTGGCCATGTCTGCATGCGAGTGCTCTGCATTCAAGCTTTAGGTCGATCAACACATGTGTGATCATGTTTTCTGTCATACATTTTCATTTCAACTAAATACCACCAGTTGTTTTTATCTTCTTTTTGGTCTGGGCTGCTGAATGTGCATATATCAATCATGTCATTGTTCTGCTCCTGCAGCTTGGATAGCAGGGACTATCCAGACTTTGCTCTATGGTGATTTCTTCTACTATTACTTCCAGAGGTAGATGCTTGATACATTTTGTTCATATCACTAGCATGTGTTGATAATTGTATAAAATGGTGACTTCATTTTTCATTTTGATATTTTGCAGCTGGAAGAACAATGTAAGGCTCGAGCTGCCAGCTTGAAAATGTCGTTTACTTGTCCACTGCCTGCGAAGTGTTGCAATAGGATACTTGAATCTGTGGTAGTTTGTAGATGTTTCTCATTTCTTTTTAACCTTTCTTTTATAATTTTTTTCCCCTTGAATCTGTGGTAGTATTTGTTCGGCCACAAGAAATATCTGACTGTCTTATTAAACGGGGATTGGACTCATAAAACCATGTTACTGTCAGTTTGTAGCACATCACATACTATCTCTCCATCAAACGGTTTGTACGGAAAGTATTTCCAAAATGAAAGTGTTGTATTCCAATTCTTTATCATGTCAAAGTCTGATTTGTTATATGTCAATACATACTTTTATGTGTGTTTATAAAGTTAAGCGTCCGTGAAATGCGTTTAGGAAAACCTAATACAAATAGTACACAAATAGAATATCCAACCATTTTTTTATTTAAATCAAACGATATTGGAGGGAGGAGAAGTTGAAAATGGTGCAAAGGACAACGTGAGCTACAGTATCTTTCTGCTTTATTTAACGTTTTGTTATATGTGAAATACCCATAAAAAAAAGGAAACTGATTTTACACGGTTTCTTGTCTCTCTTTTGCTGAGGTATATTAGTGATTTTGTTTCCATAAAAGACTAGGACAAGAAATAAAGATAGCGAGTTACCCAACTTGCAAGTAATGGCACAATCCAAATGGAATTAGGAAAAACAAAAGCAACAACTTGCAAGTAATGGCACAATCCAAATAGAATTAGGAAAAGGAAAAACAGAAACCTATAAGTACCAACTAAAACCATCGCATACCTTGCTCTCTCTAAATAATCATCACACACAACTCACCCTTCTCTCTCTCTCTCTCTGAAAATCACGTTCAAGCAAAGCCCAAGAGGAAAGGAACTTCCACAAAGTGCAAAGTGCAAAATGCCTGCGAAAAGTTTGAAGGATCCTGAGGAGGATATAAATTTAATAGAGACTAGTATATCTGAAATGGCGTTCTTTTTGTGCAAAAGAGTTAAGGAAAACTTTGGTGATGATGCGGACAAATTTTCAGAATTTTTGGCGCAACTGCACATGTTTAGCCAACAGAGGGTTGATTTGACCGAGTTTCTAAACTTGGTGGACGACTTCGTTCGAGCGGACGAACGTCTTATGAACGATCTTGAGAATTTTTGGAGAATTGCAGAAGGGCACAAAGCCATTGGTCACGCAAGCGTAAACATTTGAATTGAAGTTGGATGATTTTTTTGAAAAAGTTTTGTTTTAATTTTAGTTTTACCACTTGTGTACGATGTTTTAAAGAATTGATAGTGACGAGTTATATAAGAACTTTATTCTCCGTGAGATTATAACTGTATTCAAGATCATCTTTTTGAGATTATAAAAGTTCAAGTTCATATAAGATTAGAGAACAAGTTATTTAGAGGCAAACTAATGAGATCATGCATTAGGTTCGCCGACAATTTAATTCAATTTACTTTTCCTTTTATTTGATTTTAATAAAAATAAAAAGTAAAAGAGAGAGGCCCATTTTACAAGTTGGGTTAAACAAGCTTATAATAATATTGGACTCTCACCTTCATCAATCTCTTGGCCTATTTGTATACGGCAACCACAAGTTCACGTTTTGAGACTCATCCTCTATATGGACCCAACATTTGATTTTCTTTGTCCAACTTCCAACATTTGATTTCCTCTTCCTTTCCGTTCTCCCGAATGAAATAAAATTCAAGTCTTTGTGGTCAACTGGGATTAAAATCTTCGTGGGTTTTTGAGAAGTTTCTCTCTTAATCTCTCTCTATATCTCACTCACTGTTCAAAGCTCTGCTGCTGGTGAGCACTATTTCCTCTTTCTTTCTCTTTCTCTTTCTCTTCTGGTTTATTTAGTATTTTTTTTCTTCATTCATTAGCAGAAGCTCTTTATGTGATTTGAGGGACTTTGGGACCGATCAAGGTTGTTCTAGCCCAGGCTTTTGGCATTTCTTACTATTATTACTGGTTTATGTTGGCAAAGTTCTGATATATTGTCCGATTTCTTAAGACTGTATTTCGCGTTTTGGGTGTAGGATTTGGCTTTTATTTGAGATACAGGTTAACTTTATTGGGTTTTGTTCAATATTGTTAATTTTTTGTTGGTTTCTGCTGAATTCGTGAGTTTTGGTGACAAAATTATTTTCAAGTTTTCTCTCTCTCCTTCCAGGGCTTGAATGGGTGTTTCGTGAGGAGAGAGAACAGAGACGCGAATACCCCCTAAAAATGGTCACGTGGGTGGCACATGACTAATTTCAACATAAATTTGATGGAATTGATCATTGATGGATCACATTAATACACAAGACATATTCTAACTTGTTAATGTTTGATGAACATTAGGCTATTCTACTTCGCCATATTGGACTCAATTAAGGGTGATGACAATCACCCAACGCAACCTCGTATATCTCAAGTGTCTTCTTGGTTATATGGCACACTTGACTTGGATAGCAAGTGTTTTCTTGATATCTGGGCAACCATCAGTAATGTTCTTCAAGAAAAGGTTGCGGTTAATCGGAATGGAGCAGCTGGATTTTCCCAAGCAATGTTGCTTAACCACCTCCTTAGATACAGGGGAGTTGCATTTGCCCAAGACGTAGCTTCCACAGTAGCCAGCTGGTGGATCACCGAAGCTTGCAAACTCAACAGCAACAACCTTCTTTTTGTTGGGACACTTGATGTCGGCGGATGATCTGATAACATCTAAAACAGGTCGGAAAACGCTGTCCTGCCTTGCCCATGACTTGACATTTGGAGGATGGTACTCGGTAATGAAGCTACAGATAGTATCTCTGTTGACAGTTAGGATCTCAATGTGTTTGGGCTTCGCTGGCTGCTCCTCCAACACAACAAGAATATTTTGTGTAGGCTTGATGAAAGATCTTGGAATGTGGTACTCGGATTGAGTTGGTTCTCCAAGAGGAGAGAGGAAGGACATCCAGTGACGGCCGATGCTTCTACCATTAACCCAGATCATTCCCTTTCCCATACCAGTCATTCGAATAGCAACAGGGTTATTACCTTCTGGAGCATCAAAGTAAGTCTTGTACCATGTGAGACCCTGTGCTGATCCCTTTGTTTTATCCCATTGAACTTGTTTTGATCCCTCCTCAGTGAACACTTGAAGCTTTTCCCCATTCAGACCAACCTGATGCCCCCATCCGTTCTTTGTAATGTCCAGTGTTCCAGTGTTCAATCCAAGGACTATTATGAGATTAGGCCCTGCATATCTGTGCTCCATATAGGCTCCACCATCCGGGAGTCCCAGTGTCATGGCAAGCAGCGTTATCTGGTTGACACCTGCCTTGAAGTGAACAGGTTTCTCTAAGACGAAGCTCTTCTCATCATGGCTTCCATGTCCGAAACCAATATACTCCCCGTTGACAAACAGGTGCAATGCGTGACCAAGACTGGCAATTCGAAGAACTGGTTGAATGCTTGCCTTCCTGGGCAAGTCTTGTGGATTCAGTGCAAGGCTAGTGGTGTACCATGCATAGTCTGAGGTATCTTTTAGCAAGGTGTACAGCTCCAGCGGTGTTGGATTATTTACCGGCACTTGAAGGGTGCTTGGAATGGGTTCTGCATACTTCTTCCATTTGAGATTATTGGCAATGGTTGATCGAACGAAGATCCTAGAATTATGTTGCGCAACAATCGTTTGAGTGTTGAAGACCACGGTCTTACAATCAGGGAGGATGCTAATGGAATGCTGTGGCAGGTAATAATCCTGACCTCTCCAACTAACAGTTGCTTCCGTTGTGAGGTTATTGTTGGTCAAGAAAGCAGCACAGATGTTTGTGGCGGGCATCTCATAGAAATAAACCTCTGTGTTTGCGCTCATCTTTTGGACTCCAGGAAATCCCCAAAGTAAAGCCTTCCTGGATAGCCTCAAAGCCTTGTGTAAATCCTTGAGGTGACTCCATTTGGGGTCCCTAGGCAAACCATATTCATCGAGAGGAGCTTCGTCATAGTAGCGAGTTGTTGTGAAAATAGCACTTGTTCTTCCAAAATTTGTTCCACCATGGTACATATAGTAGTTGGTTAGAGATCCTTTCTTTGAGAAAAAGCGCGCAACTGCAAATGCAATGTCATCTACTGGTCTTTGTGAAGGAGGGTCCCCAAATACTCTGTATTGAGCAGTCCAGTTCTCAGTCCACAGAGTTGGCTTGTAGGGTTTATTCGGGCCCATGAAAGTATCTCCACATTGCCTTCCATTGCAAGTATTAATGACTGGATCAGGAGCGTCCTTCTGCTTGCACATGATCCATGGTACTCCGATGTTCTGCTGCACTGCCATGGCTGCTGCCCACCTCATATAACTGCTTCCCAACTCTCTATAGGCAAGCTGGACCATATTGTACTCATTTTCAATTTGAGCCAAGACGATGGGGCCTCCTTGTGGAGAAAATAGCTTCGCCTCCTTCAACTTGTTTACAATCAGCTGCACATATTTCTCCATGTGGTACTTGAATGCTTTGTTATCCGAGCGGAATATGATGCCAGGGACCTCCCTTAGCCAATAAGGGAGTCCTCCGTGGTTCCATTCAGCTTGGATGAATGGCCCAAGCCTAATGGTAGCATACATTCCGTGCTCCTGAACCAGCTTAATGAACCTCACCAAATCATAGTTTCCTTCAAAATTGTACTGCCCTTGCACAGGCTCATGAATATTCCAGAACACATAAGTTTCAATCATGTTCAAGCCTCCATGTTTAGCCTTCTTGATAAGATAAGGCCACATTTCTGGTGTGCTTCGAGTGTAATGGATTGCACCTGAAAACAGAAGCTCTCGTTTTCCATTGATAATCAGTGACCTCCCATCATATGTCACGGGGCCACCCTGCACTGATTGATTCCGATTCTGATGATGAAGATGCTTCCCTCTGTGGCCATGATGTCCATGTCCTTTGGCGTGGACAATTGCGGCAGAGATGACTATGGAAATGAGGGAAATCAAGAGCACCCGGCTGATTGATACTGCCATTTTATGTATGTTAATTCTTTTGATTTGGCCAATAAACTTGTTCCTCCTTAGATGGAGGCCTTGGCCAGAAGCAGCTTGCAATGAAACTCCATGAAACACAATGATATGAGGGAGATAGATGGATGGTAGTTATCAGCCGGCCTGTTCAATTTTGACTTTTTTTGTTATAATCTCCGTTGTGTTCCTACAATTGCTTTTAGCTGTTTGCTTTGACGTTTACACACTCATTGCTGGAACAAAAAATTATAACTACTTATCAAGAATGTATGGCTGTTTGGGGTGGTTGTTGTTCCTGTTTTTAGAAAAAAGCACCTATTGTTACTTGGTGTAATATTATAGACCAAAAGTAAACTGGTTTTATTATTATTTTTTGGGTGGAAGTGGAACGAGGGGGAGAAATACCTAAATGAAAGAAGAGTCAACAAAGAACAACCCAAAGTCTGGCAAGTTAGCAACCCATCTTTCTCTTCTCTCTCTCTCTTTGGAAATTCCAATCTTGCTCTCTACAATCATGACATGTTTACTAATTCGTAATTGGATTAGGAGGAATTGTGAATTGAGGAGGAGTTGGATTGAGGAGAATTAAAGTTGTTTACTAAACCATATGGATTGAAGAGAGTTAGATTTTGGATTCATATTAAGTTGTTTACTAAACCATATGGAATTGGGGTAGGAGTAGTACTAATTACTAAAATGTCCTCGTTGTTGGGTTAAAGTAGATGACAAATTTGGAATTTAAAAAATATATAATGGGTAAAAAATATGAATTCCTAATGAGTTAGTTTTTCAAGAATTAGAATACCACCTCCCATCCAAGAATTGAATTCCTCCAAAATCAGGAATTCCAATTCTTAATTTTGTGTAAGCTCCACTTACTTTTTAATTCATTGATGTGAAGTAAACACAGGAATTCTCTATAGATCGAATTCAATTCCTGATTAGTAAACACATCATCATAGTAGTTATGACTTTTTAAAGGAGAAATAAAATCTCCATCTTTGTTTTATCTGCTTGTCATTCTGATTTTTTTATATCCTTCCAGTTTTTATTTATTTATTTATCCTTTCTATTTTTGTTTGATTTATTTATTTGCATAAAAAATAGATGACTGATTTGTATCAACCACGTAATGTTCAATACTATTTTGCACATATTAAACAACAATTTAAAGTTTTATTAAACCATAAATATGTGATTTCAAATTTTATCA